TATATATATATATATATATATATATATATATATATATATATATATACTCATAAAGACATACATATACTCAGGGAGTGGTGGACTGGGCCGCTTGGACAACGGTAAAATCCCCGGAGGGAGGCAGGGATATCGCTCTGTGATAGGATTGTTAATGCTTTCAATTTTTAAAGTATGTCTTGGTATACTATCGCCAGCACCTGGTGCGTACTTTTCTATGGTGTTACCACATCCCTTCCTTCATGCTTTAAGTGGCGTAAACTCATGCACACAAAAAAGCACAAAGAAATTTTTAAGTCTGACCAGCCGTGCCAAAATTTCTAATTTTTTTTTCAGGCCACTTGGAAACAGCAAGTTCACCCCTGCTCATATCCACCCCCACCCACCCACACCCCCCACACACACATACCCACACCCACACTCACACCTATACTCATAACCATACACAAGCCTATCTATGCCCATGCATATAGGCCTACCTATCTGTTCAATTAAATGAAGTAATTTCAGTAAGGATGTGTTGGCTCCAATGAGAAAGTGGTAAAGATATAGGAACTAAAGCCGTAGACATAGACATAACTTACAAATCAAAGAGAAATAGTTGCCGGCTTGTTGTGTACTTAACAAAAGACTAAAAAAAAAAAAAACTTCCGCTACCGATGCGTCTCTGTCATTATCCCACAATTTTTTTTTTCTTGACTGATCGGCGCAGAAATTTAACTTTGACACAGTGTCAGGTTAAGTCAAAACATTCATCGTTCCGAAAAAAAATGGGGACAGAATTTGGGATTTTAATTTTTTTTATTACCAGAATTATTATCAGAAAAAATAGTTATTATTAAATCAAGGATGCTGGTTACAGCAAATTAGTTTTTTAAAGAATTTCGAGAAGTTTAGGTTAATTACACTCCCTCATTATTTTATAAGCAAAATGGCCAGTAATTCAAAGTCTGTGTTTTTTTTTCCAGATTTGTTAATACATTTTTTTTTAAATTATATACATCATTAAGCACAGTTCGACACAGTGTTTCTTCCAGACTTTTTTCTCCTGAGGGACACTTGATATTTCCGAGGGGCGGAAAACATTTTCCGGGGGGCGGACAAAATATTCCGGGGGGACGACACTGGTAAAAGTATGTTTTCTATATAAATTCCATTTTGTTCGGGGGGGGGGGGGTAGACTTTCTTCGAGCCCCCTCGCCCCAGCCCCCCCCCCCCCCCCAAGAGATGCCTGGAAGAAACTCTGGTTTGACACCAGGGAAGGTGAGGAGTGTCATATCGACTTAATACTTAATACATAGTCATTACGTCACTGGCCGAGGACTGTGACTCTGTGACACCGTATATCTCAAGCTGTACTTATTGAAATAATCTTTGGCATGCATTATTAGCACAATCCTAGGAATTATCCATACGCACTGTTAAACTCATGTTAGTAAAAATTAAAATTTAATACCTCCAACTTGAAGACTCATGACCTTTTTTTTAAAAAGTCTACATAAGACGCATAACACACCTGACATTTTTATTCCAATATCTGACAACATGCATAATTAAGGAAGTATGTAATCAACCAGTCCTCTCCACCCCACCCCCCCCTACCAAAACTTGACATTTATAAACGTCCGCGTCATGTTGACATCTTAACGCCTGATACAACAACTTGATTTTTTAATGTTAACAAAAATTTGACATTACAAGGACGCAATCATCCAATCGTCTATCAGTCTATGAAGCTATTTTTTAATTAAGTTATTAATTTAAAATTAAGACTAACAAAATGACATTTTTAGCTAATTTTATCTACAAAAAAAGCAGATTTATGTCAATATATTGATACTCACGTGATAAAATCTCCATTCTGTCAAAACATTTGATCAGTGGTTGCTAAAGATCAAATTCAACTCTACACGAGCGCTGTATAGAAGATCTATCATCTCACGCTAGTTGATCTCTACATTCTCCTAGATCTACTACAAAAAAAAACTTAGAAAAACAGTTTTGAGTACTTCGAAGTAGGTTATTTTTTCCACCTGGAAAATTTCCTGCCCGCTTCAGTCAAGCATGAACTTCGGCTGTCTCGACACCTTCATCGTTGATCCGCCCAGCGTGGGGGTAAAACTATATATAAATAGCCGCAGATAAGCGCGTGCAATACTGTGTGCGCGAGCAGCTCTCGTTACTCACGCACACACAAAAAAGAACGTTAGGGGAACCGTTAGAACAGTTAATGATATAAAAATAAAAACTCCATTCATAAGTTGTTACATAATCCAACTGCAATAGAATAGTTGAATCGTTACATAAACCAACTATGGAAAGTGGCTTCTTAATCCATTACATAATCCAACTGTGCAATAGAATAGTTTTACCGTTACATAAACCAACTATGGAAAGTGGCTTCTTAATCCATTACATAATCCAACTGTGGAAAATAGAAAAGCTTAACCGTTATTTTATCCCACTTTGGAAACTCTTCTTAATCACTTACATAATCCAGCTGTGGAAACTAGAATACTTTAACTCGCTGCACAAATCAGCTATAGAAACTAGCATCATTCAACCCTTGTATAACCCAACTACCTCTGTAAAAACAGGTAAATCAAACTTGACGGTTAAAAAAAAAACTGACCCCCTTTAAACCGAGTTTCCTTAATCTTTTATGACGCCCATCAAAAGCGCAACACTAAGTCTATAAAAATATATGACCTAATATCCCTCCTTTCCCCTCCACAACTGACAAAAAAACATGGTCTGTTTAATATTCATAGGACAACCCATTCTCCCCCCCCCCCCCCCTCAGTTTCTATCACCCCTCGATTTTTATGATGGCGAATAACTCACAGCACCCACCCCCTACATTATTTTTGACAGCGAATTACTGTCTACCCCTCACCTCACAGCTTCGTCCCCCCCCCCCCCACCACCACTCTACCATTATTTTTGACAGTGAATTGCTGTCTACCCCTCACCTCACAGCTACCCCCCCCCCTCCTCCATTATATTTTAAACCTTGAATTGCTGTCTAACACTCATCTTACAGCGAATAGCTGTCTAACCTGTACCACTCACCTCACAGCTACCCCCCCCCCTCCCCTTCCCCACCTCCTCTAACATTATTTTCGACAACGATTTGCTGTCTACCATCCAGGCGCTGAGACAGAAGATGACATGACTGATACACCCTACGGTGTCAAGAATTTCTTGCACGCAACCTGCCCATCACTTTACGCGGCTTGTGATTCTACGTGTTCATTAATTGAAATAACTGATAGACCTGATCACGAACACCCGACTCAAGGAACAGCAACAATTTGTTGACATCTCATTCTCTTTTTTATATAGTTCTACAACGGACTTTATTCAGGAATGCTTTGGTTATCTCAGGTCACACATTTCCACCATCCATGATTTTGTTTTTCAACTGATTAAAATATTTAAATCGGGCCATGCTGTTGTTTCACCGTCCCTGATCTTAAATTCGTGTGTTCAAATGTTTTTCTAGAACTGGTCTGTAGTTTTTCTAAGCTGCGTCCTCTCCACTCTCACACTACATATTAATACATTTCCCATTGATGGCTAGAGTCTATCGAGCGTCCCTGAGTCTACCCAGCTCTGATGGGTACCTGGCCCCATTTAAGGGAGGTAAAGGCGGTAGGGCATGGTATAACCGCAGTTTCTTCAATTGTCGAGGTGAACTCATTTGCCAAGTTCGAAAGTGCAGCTAGCTGTATTTGAGTCAGGTGGCCAAAGAATACCTTAAATATGTACAAGTATAATCCATCATGCCTGACAGTTTGTGTCCAAAGTCCATCAATCAAATCCTTTAGAAAATCTAAAGTATTTTTTTTGTAATACTTCTAGAACACTTAGGTTTTACAAGAAACAACAGAAACCCTGAGACCAACACACATTTGAACAGACAAGGAAATGACAATCTTACAATGAATGACCAATCATTTATTTTCTGCTAGGCTCAATGCAGCATTTAGATGATAGAAAAATGTCAAATGACCTATGTATGTAGTGTTGAATCAAAGATGGACAGTGCTGCCATGGCCAGTGGTGTAAAAAAATGATCAGACTGTCACACATGTGGTCATCAGACAGCAAACATAGAAGCTTCATGGCACAAATCTTTAAGTACAACAATAGAAAAAAGCATCTCAGTGAGTCTCCCGTCATGTCAAGTATTTACACAGGTATTGCACCAAAAAAACCTAAAGGGATCACAAAAATATACAATCATCTCCTGAATGCATTATGCACTGTACAACATTCAGGGGTGCCACTCATTTTCTAAGTGAATCCTGAAAATGAATCCCAAAATTTTACCAATCCTGAAACTAAAATTTGAAATTTTTGAAACCCTGAAACTTAATTTCGCGCGGAATTTCAAAATAAAATGGACTATTATTTCATTATTTTTTGAGACATTTGATTCATATTATGTTCAATTTACATTCCTTTAAAATGGATTTATTTTCTTTGTAACAAGCTTGAAATAAAAATTAATCTTTAAAGGATTGTGCTTACAACAAAATTAGTTTACAATGTTAGTCCCACCCATCTCTAGGCCTACCCCATAATGTGCTATTGTAGAACTCCCCCCCCCCCCCCTCCCAGCCAGCTTTTATAACATTACTGTATTTAATTTTTGAGAACTTCCTAGCTTGATTTAAAGTGTGTAGTCAGCCAATTGCTAACCTCTATGTCTTGTTATTGAATAATAAGCGCACTATATGCAGACCCCTAATAAGATTGTCACTGTATTAAAATACAGGGTTGACTTACTGTAGCTATTCAAGGCTTTAATTATTAACAGCCACAACAAAAACCTAAAACCCCGTTTTCCCAATCAACCACCAATGGGGTCATCCATAAATGATGTCACGCTTTTTTGACGATTTTACCTCCCACCTCCCCTCGGTCACATATCTGTCACAAAAAGCAAGACCCCGCCCTCTAAAATGACGTCACACCTCAGCCCACACCCCCCCCCACCCCTAAAAATTGCAGTCGAATTTTTTTTAAAATACGATATTTTCCAAAAATCTTGTCTGACCTCTGTCAACATAGAGTATTTTAATCAATTCCTATTACACTTTATTGAAACAATATTCTAAAACGCGAAATAACGGCTAAAATTCGTTTTCTAACATAGCTTTTGGATAATGCAAAAGTGTGATGTCACACCATCTGAACCCCTCCCCCTCATGACAAAATTACGAACCCCCCTCCCCTTACGAGTGTGACGTCATTTATGAACGACCCCAACGCCCCCACCATTGATATACATGATGACGTGAAGAAATATCATGGAAGTTTTAAGTCCATATCGCGGAATAACAGAATTAAGTTAATTTTAAAAATAATTTTAGAAGTAACTACGCTAGTAATACTCATGTCAGAGATGTAGCCGCCCGACTAAGTGAAAAGCTGATTTTTTTTTTACAAGCGGTTGGGAGGGGGCAGTGATAGCGGCTATTTTCTCAGACACGGTACTTCAAGGTTTTTTAAACATTTCAATGACGTTTTACCAAAGTAAAAAAAAACAATTAGATGTAGACCCTGCTAGATTGTGTAACTAAATTATAGCAGGCCTACATATTTTGTTTAATGATATAAAACGATGCAGTTCTAGTTTTTTTTTCTTGAATCTAGAAGTAGGCCCTTATTAAAAATAACCACGTTAAAATTAAACAGCGCTTGTACTTGTAGAACTGCCTTGACCGAGAGACACGACTCAGACTGTGTTCACGTGGTCTCGTGACGTAGGTCTTACGGTCAGCGCGACCTTGAAGAAGCGGGTAAGAGGTGGTAAAAATACATAAAATAGTCCTTCAAATAGTTTTTTTCTTTTCTTTTGGTAATACCAAATACAAAAAAATAATTTTTTTTATGATCGGAGCAAAATCTTTCAGTTTTTTTTTTTTTTAAAGACCATCGGCGATGCTAGTGAGCTTGAGCTAGTACTTGTAGGCTTTAGTTGTTTTTATTACACAGCCTAGCGGTATCCCATTGATGACATCACGTAAATAATGCGAGTTTTACCCCCAACCCATATCGTCATAAATAGCTAGACAACCACACCACGAATGACATCAAAAAGTTTCGTCTACAGCCTCACCCATCTGATACAGCCGATTTGTATTTGGTCCTTGGCGCACGCGTGAGATTGTTGCTGACGTCATTTACTATTCATTTTTTTCGGAAAAGGCCATTAGCGGGAGTGTTGACGATAAAAACGGTTTTTACAATGCCAAAATTTTCAAGCTTAAAACGATCTAAATTTTTTTTAAAAATGAAAACCCGGAAATTTTTAAACTCAAATCTTGCGAATCCGGAAAGGGAAAAAAATATGATTCTCGAATCCGGAAATCCGGGATATCCCGGAAAAGTGGCACCCCTGAACATTTGAAGCAGAGATAGTTAAAAACCTGACAAGATAAATGGATGAAAATATAGACTAGTTATGTCACAGCATTGTTACGCCTCTCATACTGTCTTAGAAAAGTAGTCCACTATCACACAATCATAGCAGGAATTCATACACCCAATCTCATCCTCACCAGCCACATTCAGTAATACACTCAAATAACTTTATACACATCTATATGCACAGCACATGGGGCAAATACAATTCATTAAGAATCAGAATACAAAGTTTCAATAAGGGCTAAAGACTTAAACTTTACATGCTAAATACTGTTAAGACATGACAGCTCATTAGCTGCAAAATATTTAAGCACCAAATACAGAGAAGACACAAACATTATACATCAATGTAGAAGTATGCATTTCTCTGAGACAGGGACCAGTGCTGATGGAAGGGGAAGAACCCATTAGTACACTGGTGATTTGAAAAGGGGAGATAATGTAATCAGCTTAGTGACAAGTGATTCTTGGGTTTTTAACACCTAGGGGGTCCAGTGAATGCATTCAACTAGTGTAAAAATGAACACCATCTGACCTGGTAGAATTCATTTGAAGTATGTTTAGGTTGGGAGATCATATACAGGAATGTCAAGTCAATAGCTTGTATAGTTTGTTGTTCCTCAGCAACCTTCAACTAACTCAATATTCGCTATCAAAATAAAGCTCTATCTTAAACAAAGGCATCATCATTTAGTACAAAAATACATAAACTTTTGAATGATGTAAAAAAAAATTACACAATTCAAATACACAAACTAAGTAGATTATCTAAACAAATAATGTATACGAACTTAGCAAAAAAATAAAAAAAATGTAACTAAAAAATTGACATTTGTAAGAATTACAGCTCAAGAGTAATTTACCCTACATTACATAAACAGGTGTATTCTATAAAAGTGTAAGGGACACGTGTGGGTACATAAACATTCAGTGCTGCTGTGTACAATCAGTGCAACACTAAGCAAGCTGAGCACTCTACTATGGACAACAGCTGTAGGAAATATTTAACAATGACCAGATATTTTGTGCTAATTCATCCACATGCAGAGTGAAGATAGCTGCACAACCTTACACATAAAAAGCTACCCAAAACTTGGAAATAAATCCATACAAAAGTCAGGAATGGGCTGAACTATGTCATATGTTACACATGGATAAATAATCCAAAAATCATGTGACAATTTTTGGACAAGTGACAAATCTCACATGGATGAATCAAGATTATTATGATTATTAGTATAAAAATGTGTTAACAAAAGCCTACTGTGGGTCATGTTGTTATGCATTATTTTCCTAGAATATTTAGTTCAGTTAATTTAGTTTATGCATGCAAAGATTCACATCCACTAAGTGGTAACAAAAATTGTTACTTTGTCAAGCAGACTTTGATATTACTTGAATACATTAGTACAAAAAATTATTTGACAGAAAAAAAATATCACCAGGCCTTTACAGCATGTTCACACACAACAACTTATCCATTTGTTAAACTATCCAAATACTAATTATTTTGCTTTAGATTCAAGTGATGTCTTTGTTCGTATTTATTTTTTAAAACTATTTCATTCCAGATTTAAAGCATGTTTGCCATAACTTAAAATACATTAAAGATTTTATTTCCTAAATATTAATAAAAAGATAAGTGCATAAACTGCTACTATTAAATTACTACAACTAAGTTCAAAACAGATCTTTTTAGTAATCACTACAATGCTCTGAAAACTCGTCAAGTATATTAAAATAAAAACAACGGGTAGCTATGTCAATAAACTACATATTGCCTATGTTTATTTTGTTTTGATAATTCAATTTCATGATTTTTAATGAATTAAAAACTTGATTGATTGTTATTTTTTACAGTTTTCTTTCTATTTGCATCATCAGTTATCATTTTCATACATTCATTCACATTTTCATTTATTCATTTTTTAATTTCCTCAGGTGATCTGATTTACAATCATTCAAAAATCTTACATTCTTCAACTGAACTTCCATTACTCATAGTATTCCATGCACAACTTTTGCTAATAATTTTAAATTTGACAAGATTTTTATTAAATAATATGAGAAAAGTATATACAAATATTACAAAAATGTTTGGCTCTAATAAAATAGAATGTACATAAAAGATAGTTAAAGTGAACAGGCCTATCTTACAAATGATGCTTCCCTATATTCTTTGGGATCCATTGAGAAGAATTCTTCCAGTTTCCACTGCAATGTTTCAAATGTTGGTCTTTCAATTTCTTCTTTACGCCAGCAGTCTAGCATGATTTCATACAAAGGTTTAGGGCAGTTTGGTGGGCAGGGCATTCTGTAGCCATGCTCTACTTGATGCAGAACCTCAGCATTGGTCATCCCTAGTGAGAGAAAAATAAATTTGTGCCATAAATGGAGGGGGTCTAGTAGTAAAACACAAATGTTTTATGTCGGGGGAGTAACTGTGTCTGGGAAAAGTGCTGACAAGATTATCCCTTCAAATGAATACAGGTGAAATCAAATTTATCAGACCTAATTTCATCCTTTTCTCTTAATATCAGACCTGTTTAATTTTTTTTTTAGAATTCTTCTATCCAGGCTATGCAAGTTTTTGAATATTTTTTTTTTACTAAATACACATCTTTTTAAAAATCTAAGTAACAGTGTGCAATACACAGATAATTTGTATACATGTTAAACAGCACTGTTGCCTGATACATAATATGTAAACATAACTTGCTCCTGTCATATTTTTATCCAAGGTTTTAGCTTGCACAAAAAAAACATTGCATCACAGATAGTTTGAGTAATTGTTTGTTTTATAAAGTGAGTTAGATTTCACTATGGCTGAAATCAGAGTCAACTTATATATGGTGCATATGAGGTTGGCACTTAATACTTAGCTGTGTTGTGGGAAATCCCTTTTCGAACATAATTAAGAATGAAGAAGAAGACTGAGTTTCTGTTGAAGAGATCTGATATATACAATTGTAGGCCTAGTTTTAGACAAAATACTTACCTGGATATGGAACCCGTCCATAAGTTACAATTTCTGTCAGCAAAATTCCAAATGACCATACATCTGATTTGATGGTGAACCTGTTGAAGTTGGCTGCCTCTGGTGCTGTCCATTTAATAGGGAACCTGGCACCAACACGGGCTTCATACTCATCCTCCTGTAAATTACAATGTTATCTTTATCAAACAAGGGTAATCTAAGAGGTTAATTTAGTTAAAATATCTATTTTATAGTAGGATTATATTTATATGTACAGTTTTGGCTTATATCTTTGAAAGAAAACTACTTTTTTATTAAATTAATTTTTTCAGATAGTCGCCAGTGAATTTAAACAACCCTGACTTTTAAAATTATTAACTCAATGCAGAGCTTGTTTGGGTGGGCAGAAAAAAAAGCCTTAAAAACTAAACTGAATTTAAAAAAAAAAAAGCTTTTTTTTAAATCATTAATTAAAAAAAAAAATGTAAGTTATACTTCTTACTTTTATAACTCTGGCTAGACCAAAATCTGCAATTTTTACATTGTTATTGTCACCAACAAGAATATTTCTAGCTGCAAGATCTCTGTGAATGTAGTTTTGGGATTCAAGATAAGCCATTCCACAGGCTATTTGGGCTCCTATATCAACCAGTGATGGGAAGGGCAGAACACGAACTTTACCTAGAAATACATTATAAAAAGTGATTAAATCAAGTTCGATGATAGAGTTAAATTTCATTAAATGTAATTAATCAAAACACAAAGTGCTATGATAAATTTTTATTCAATAAAGCATCATAAGATATAAGTGTAGCCCACATATAAAACTATCAATAAAAACAGAAATGCATAATTTACCTTGTAAGTATTCAAGAAGACTACCATTTTTCATGAGTTCTGTTATGATGTAAATGGGTTCATCTTGTGTGCACACAGCATACAGCTGAATAAGTTTGGGGTGTCTCAACTTTTTCATTATCTGAGCCTCAGCCAAGAAGTCTTTGGGATCCATGGTGCCTACAACAGTAATAATAAAAACATGTGCTTGCATAATTTACAGTAGCATAATTTATTATTCCTGGAAGCTGTAAATGTTTATAATAATTATAGTAGTACTTTAAGAACAATACCAAGCAATTCACTTAACATAACTGTGATTACCAACTCTGTAGTGTTACAGTTGATCAAAATAAATATTGCATGCACACATATTCATTACTAGTAAACAAATTACCTTAACCTTATTTCTAAGGTAGATTTTTGTTTTTCAAATAATTTAATTTTATATCAATTATAGGCAATTGGGTAGAACAAAATAAAGTTTTTACCTGACTTAAGTGTTTTGATAGCCACTGGTGTTGTGTTATTCCATAAGCCTTCCCACACTTCTCCGAATTGTCCATGGCCAATTTTGCGAATAAGCTTAAGAGAACTTTTGGGGATTTCCCATTGATCTTTAGTGTTGTAAGATAACCCAACAGTCTGTGGCTTCTCAATCTGTGCACAGAAACAGATAAACACTAAACAAATGAACAGTATTTTTTAGTTTTGTATTAATGTTTAACAATTTAGTCATGCTTAATTAATATCTACCAAAAGCTGATAGGTGCTTATAATTTAATATAGATTCAAAGTTGTGTCCAACAACAGTATTAGATCATCACATGAACACTAACCTGAGAGCAGGCTTTTCTAAGGTTGACACATAGGCCATCAGAATCTGCGCTGTAATGGTCAACTAGTTCTGAAAGTGCTCTGAATGTTACTCTACGAGCAATGAAAAAACCTCCCTCATCTAGTTGACGAATTCTGTAATGCTTAACAGTGTCTCCATCACGAACTAAGATTTAAAAAGGAAAGTTGCTTTTAAAAAAAATCATTTTTAAAAAGTTAGCTGTTAAAAAACTGTTTAGCTCTATAGTCTACAGGGATTTAAAGTACAAGAATTCACAACACTTGACAATGACAAACCTGATAAAGAGTAATCATTTCTTCGACTTTCACTGTCTCTTATTAAGAAAGCTCCATGTTCATTTTCAGGTGACAGCAGCTTCTTTTCAGCCTCAACTCTTTTTATCTTTCCAAAATACCATCTGAAGAAACAAAATAGATATTATGTGCTGAATTACACCAAAAATATAGTTGATTTCGGCATCTCAAAAATTAATAAAATGATCTTGTGAATCAATAAATCACCAAAGGTAACTAAGTGCTTTATAAAAGCAGGATCAAAACTAACTACAATCCTAGAGAGGGTGAAAACCTAAACCAGGACATCAATGTCGAGGTCTAATAGCCAATTAGAACTACTAACTAGAACTAGATATAATAATACACATAGTATAGTCTAGTGCTATTTAGCTTGGCCCAATATTTCTTTTATTTTTACATTTAATACTTTGTTATAATAACTAAGTAAAAATTTACCTACACAAAACAGATTCTATAGGCCTAGAATATCTACAATATCTAGATCTACTAAATAATAAATATCTACTGCTTAGGCAATAAATAATAGGTAGATCTAGATCTAGAAGCTAGGGGGGGGGGGGGGGCCTATTGATTTGAATTAATTATTAATAGGCCTAAACTAAAGAATATATTATAAATGTGTCCTTACGCTTCAGATTCTAAGCTTTTTAAATTTGCAACATAGTTGGAAGGAATATAACCCTCTTTCTTTGTTGTTTTTGACCGAGCATACCACCAATCTCCTTGTGTATCATTGATTATTTCCAAATGTTCTCCCTTTCTAAAAGACAAGTCTTCATCTGTACGTGCATCATAATCGTACAATGCAACAAATACTTTTAGAGGCCCAGAAGGCACTAAATCTATTGTGTCAACTTTGCGTTGTGGCGACTGATTTAAAGGAGATGGACTGCCTTGAGAATTGTTTGTATTTGATGCTGCTGCACTGGTAGCCTTATTAGTCAAGGCACCGTTTTCTGTGCCTCGGGATGGTGATGTCTCTACAGTTGTGGAAACAGGTTCTGGGCGAGATCCTCCAAAACAGTTACCCATGTTTGAATATCACATAAACACACTTATTTGAAAGTCTAAAGAGTTGTGACTTGACGGGCTCAAAGATACTTTAAGAAAATCATAATAATTAGCGAAAATGATTCTAAAAAAACAAATATTTATTAGAAATTATGCCACTTAGAAATGTAAAGTAACCATTTTCGGATGATCTCAGACTACTCCTCAATAAAAAAAATAATAAAATGTTGTTAAACCTTATTTAATCGATTTCATATATTATTTCAATATTATTATTTTAGTTTATTAATATTTTATTAAAAATAAGCTTTGCAAAACTTATATGCTGAGTATTTTTCAACTTTCCTTAGGGATTAATTTCTTTTGAACATTAACTAGTGTGTGAAAAGGGCAGTATTGATCAATTTCAGCGAAACGAGAGTTTTCATTGGTTACAAACCCGGAAATTATGAGACCCATTCTTGGACCAATGATATTTTCATTCGGTCATAAGCAATGTAAAAAGTCAACTCACTTCCTGTTGCGAACCAAATAGCGCGCCTTTCTGGTTGATCTTTTGTGTTGGACTTCTAGATCTACTGCGTTATAAAATTTTGTTTCGCCTAAGTAATTAAAATATTGAGGTCTACAGATCTATAACAAGATGGTTAAACTAACTAACGGTGCCATTGTTGATATACTTAATGGTGGCACGCCTGAAAAACCACTATTACAAGTCATAAATGCCAAAAAAATAGAATCTGCCAACACTGTTGATCGCTATCGACTTTTGTTGTCAGATGGTGACTATTCGTATTCTCATGTTATGATGGCTGCTCAGCTAAACAAGATGATGGAAAGCAATGAAGTCACAAATTTCTGCGTCATTGAAGCCACAAAATATATGTGTAACAAGTTGCCTGGCGAAAAGCGTGTCATTATTTTACTGGACATCAAAGTCTTGGCTAAAGGTTTAATTTCATTTATTTTTCTTTAGCTAGGCCAAACTAAAAGTAAACTAGTGTAAACTCAAACTTTTTGGGGAGTGAACCATTAACAATGGGAGCAATTTACAACTCTTAATTAATAAAGATAATACGTAGAATTCGTCTCTTTGTTTGATTCTCTATATAAGTGGGCGTGTCTTCTATAGTTTTTTTGTAATGAATAAAATTTTCAAACATCGTCACTCGCGCGATCGCCACACATGCAACAGCAAGATGATGGGAGAAAAATCTCAATGTGGGCGGCGCGAGCGTAATCCTAGTACATAGTCTACTCTAAACTTATATTATAAATTCCCAGAAGAGTAATCTAGATTTCTAGATCTATCTACCTACTCTAGATCTAGGTGTTGGTTACTGTACTGTTGTGTAACAATCATTTTATGCCTTTCTATTTAGAAATCTAGATCTGTGTTTATGAACTGTTATGATAATCAAATTTTAATAACAGCTGATCCTCTTTAAAAGATTAGTCTTAATGATGGATTTAGTCACTTCAGAATTGTGATTGACATGAGTCCATAAAATAATTTTAAATAAAATCAGATTTACAATAGGCCATTGGCCAAGCTCTTGCATTTAATGCTAAAAATAAGTAAACCTAAAGAACCTTCCATCCCACCAGGGCCAGTGTCCTTATCTAGTATTTTTATCTTTTTTATTAGGTAGCGAAGTCGGCCAAAAGATTGGCAATCCTACTACTATTAACCCAACACAAGTTCCAACAAAACCTGTCAGTTCAGAACCTGCTGGTGTGGATAAAAATCCTGTCATACTGCAATCTAAACAAGTAAACAACACAACTGGAAGAGCACAGCCTAGCTTGGTGAGATACATACACCTGTATTTTAATGTTTAATTTTATTTTGTATCCTTCATACAGATGCTTATCTGTTATAGAATTAACATTATCACAGTCATTAAATGAGTGGTTTGTTAGTGAAGTACTATCAATAAGAACACCTTGTAAGCCATAATTTTAATAGTAATTAAATATATTTAATAAGGTAATTTAAAAGCTTATTGGCTTGAGTAATTGAATTAATTTTATAAAACCTTTTCAGAGTTCTGGCTTGTCTGCGAATTCATCTGTCAGCAAGAGTTTGACTCCCAATACACCATCTCGTCCTCACTCCATTGCTAGCTTGACTCCATATCAGAACCGATGGCGCATTAGGGCCAGGGTCACCATGAAGTCAAATATTCGTACCTGGAATAACTCAAGAGGAGAAGGGAGATTGTTCAACGTGAATCTTCTTGATGACAGTGGGGAAATTCGTTTAACTGGGTTTAATGATCAGGTGGACAAGTTTTACAATCTTCTTGAGGTGAACAAAGTCTATTACTTTTCAAAATGCACCCTCAAAACTGCAAATAAACAGTATTCAAGCTTGAATTGTGATTACGAGATGACAATGAACCCAGAAACCATCATTGAACCCTGTAATGAAGAGATTGACCTTCCAATGATGACCTTTGACTTTGTGCAGCTTTCAGAGCTGGAAAAGTGCAAGCCTCCATCTAACGTTGACATTATTGGTGTTGTTAAAGTTTGCAATGATACTGGAACTGTTATTGGTAAGCAAACCCAGAAGGAAATCACTAAACGGGACTTGCAGATAGTTGACCAAACGGGACTTGCTGTTAATCTTACATTATGGGGAGATGATGCTGTGCAGTTTGATGGTCAGGGTTTCCCGGTGGTTGCTGTGAAAAGTGCCAGGCTGTCAGATTTTCATGGGCGTTCTTTGTCTGTATCAAACGGCAGTCAGCTGCTCATCAATCCAGACATCAAGGAAGCACACATCCTGCGAGGCTGGTTTGAAAATGAAGGCAGATACCAAAATTTTAACAGCTATCAGAGTGAAGGAGGCCAATCAAGTGGTCATTCCACCAACTGGAAATTGTTTTCACAGGTGTGTTTGATATTTTATTAACCCATATTTAAGTACAGAGTATGTTGTTGTTTTTTTTTTAAAAAAAAGGTAAACTCTAGTTTTTTCTTTGTTCTTTTAGTCCTTTATCTTTGAATGCTAGAATTTACAATCTGTTAAATTTTTTTTAAGCAGCTTAATTGCTCATTGTATTTACCTTTTTTTTTTTTTTTGTAGGTAAAATCAGAAAACCTTGGCCAAGGGGAAAAGGCTGACTACTACACCGCTAGAGGTACTGTTCTGTTCCTGAGAAAAGAAAACTGCATGTACCAGGCATGCCCAACGGCAGAGTGTAATAAAAAAGTAGTGGATCAAGGCAATGGTCTGTACCGCTGCGAGAAATGCAACAGGGAGTTCCCGAATTACAAGTGGAGGATGATTCTCAGTGCCAACGTGGCCGACCACACTGACAATCAGTGGATTACCTGTTTCCAGGAGTCAGCTGAAGCTCTAATAGGTATCAAAGCTGATGAGCTTGGTTCCTTGCGTGAGAAAGATGAGAACCAATTTGACCAGGTTATGAGCGAGGCCCTGTTCAAGCAATACACTTTCAAAATGCGAGCTAAGGTGGAGTCTTATAATGAAGAGAGCCGGCTGAAAACAGTTTGTGTTTCTGCTACACCTATTGATTGGAAGGAGGCAAGTATCCAATTATTGGAACAGATTAAGCAGTTGGGAATTTAAATGTTTTATTATGTTCTGACTTGTGACCATTTTTATATGGCTAGTTCTGTATATTTTCTTAGTTTGTACCTGGTATACAGTTAATGGAAATAAGCCTGCTGGGTATTATGAAGAAGCTGAGTTGTAAATTGACTTTGTTTCAAATACAAATTGAAATTTGAGCTGACTCTGTTGGTATAGTTGCATTTTTTAAAACAACTCATTGCTTGTACAGAAATTGGCCATTATATTTGCATCGTTTAAATGTTTTTGTTAAAAGTCCAGTTCTGCAATTACACATTGTCAAATGCTGGTGTTATTTTTGTACCATCTATAATCATCACCGGTAGTAGTTTTTTTTTTTTTTTATCATGTGGGTATAGGACTAACTACCTTAAAACTTTTTTGTTTTCCACTGGTGGATTAGATTGAATATAGTCAGAATTATTTTATAAAGACAGTTTTGTGCACTGTATTTGAATTATTGTATGTTTATGCTCACTCCTATTTAACGAGCAGTACTATGTGATTTTTTTTTTAGTGTTCCAATTATATTTACTTGATAGTATATAAAATATTGTTTTGCCATTGTTTCTTTTCTTTATCATTAATGCAAATCTGTATGTTAATTGACATACCAATGTTACTGCTAACTGAACATCCATATATTTATTTTTTTAGCAACAAAGTGGTGAAATAAATATGGATGGGGGGTGAAGTAAGATCATTCTTGCATAATGATATAAGTTGGCTGAGGCTACCAAAATAACCTAAGATTTTCAGTATTGAATTTCAGTACTATATTACTGATTATAAATTTTTAGTTCAATACATTCTTTTGAATAGCTACTTAACTAACTGATGTATATTGAGAAAAAACAATACTTTGTTATATGATGTATGCATTGAGGTGTATAAGAAAATAAACTGTTGACAAAAAAAATTCTCTGTGATCTAGTAATGTTGGCTTATTAAACAATGGGTAATCGCAAAAGTAGGTACTAGCTGATTGTTTCTGACGCCAGCTTTCAAGTTTTAATTTTTTTTTCAACTTATTTGGGGTGCTAATGATAGGATGATAAATAAATCGTAAAAGAACTTACTGGCTAAACAACTTCCAATTATATTTCATTAGTCCAAATGGACAGGCATTCTTTATTATAGCCTAATATGGTTGTTTTTTTTTCTTCTATATTTTGTTCTCTGAGTAGCCATACACTTTAATAGAATGTTAAATAAAAAGCTTTTAAAACGTTCCATCTCTATTATTCAAAATGTGGGGAATTCTAAAATTAGATTAATTGAACACCTACTAATGAATTGCAACAAAGTAATAACACATTTGATTTATTAACCTGTATATTTATTAGCGTTATGCTTAAATAACTCAACAAATTTGTTGAAGAAAAAAAATTGAATAAGAAGGGTGTGAAATCATTAAGTAAAATAATAAGTAAGTAAAATAAAAAGAGCATTAATTTTGTGTTTTCAAAATTCCTGTATTTGTATAGTATAATTTTAAAAAAAAACAAGTCTTCTCCCTTTCCAATGTCGAGCCTTGTTTTTAAGTTGTAATTATTGCCTTTATTCACTTTCACTGTAGTTCAGGGTTTCGCCCTCTCTACCTGTTGTAAAACATAAAAAAAAAACAGTTATATCTTAAGGGCATTTGTAATAAATATTGATAAAACAAATAATAACAATACACTATTCATGATTCTGAACATCGTTCCAAAAGAAAAATCCTACTCGTTTTGTTGTAGAAAAATATACGACAATGACAATTTGTATACTAATTGATATTCATATGTTTGCAAATGAATGATTGTAATCAGAATAGGGAAGATGAACTTGATGTGTCAATATTTCAACTGACCTGTTGTCTGGACTCAGGATGTCCTAGCTGCTCTGTGAGCCCCTGGGGTGACCGCTGTCTTGTGCCTGGTGCCACTGGTCCCGCCAGCTGGCAAATGTTGGCCTGGCCGAGCTGTTGTACCCACCCCACGATAAAGGTGGCATTGGGGTGGGGGGGATAGCCCTCGACGCTGGCCTGTGTGATAATGGATATGGTAGCAAATGTGTTTTATCAGTACAAATATAAAGAGAAATCTTTCAAGGGCTTAGGTTCCAGAAAATATTCTTAATAAGCTTGATTTTTTTTTTTGTGTATCTAAGTGAAGGTGCTTGCAGGAAAATATTTTCATATTTACCAATAAAATATAATTGTTGTATTTCTTCATAGTAAATTTTGTAAATTCAAAAATAATATGTATAGTTTTCTTATACAAAACATAGGCAGCTGACTATTTTAGAGTTAGCAAAAGAAGTTTCACTGATAGTATGTTCAATATATAGAAGATATAGGGCCTCCACACAAATAATTAAAAAAGGCTTATTCGGTTATTCATTAAGAAGTGATTTTTTCTGGAACCTAACCCATACACTAAACAAATATAGTATAGGGCTCAAAATTTTTCTATACAGGCATAATAATAGGTGCTCCAAACTGACTTCAAAGCAATTCCGCAACAGTGTCTTTGCTTATATTAAGTTATATAGACAGTGCTAATGATTCTAAGAATATGGAAACCAAATTAGATGGCAGCAAAACAGTCTGTTAGTCTGATAAATCTGGATGAACATCGACTTACTTAACATAGTTACCGACACATTAAACGGCAACATGACCGCCAACAAGATGGTAAGTTATGAAGATGAAAACAAAAGTACCTTCGTTGTTGTTGGTGGTCAGTAGCTCTCTGCCCCTGTGCTGATACCACAGTGTCTTGCGCTGCCCTCGACAAGGGCCAGTCGATGATCACATTCTCGTCTGCGCATTCTCCTTGCCCCAGATTCGCACCTTGATTCGGCGCGTAGCCTTCGCAGCCTTGCGCACCGTATTCGTGCGGGTCACCAGCGGCAAACCCCGTGGGGTCACCCAGCGCGTGCTGCGCCTGGCTCATTGGTCTGGCTGAGGGGAAATCGCTTGCTTGACCAGCGGCCTGATAGCCGGCCCTGGACGGAGGGACAGTTTGCCCAGAGGCTTGGTACCCAGCTCTGGATGGGGGGACGGTCTGTCCAGCGGCCTGGTAGCCGGCTCGGGATGGGGGGACGGTCTGTCCAGCGGCCTGGTAGCCGGCTCTAGAGGGAGGCACCTGTGGTGTCATTCTCGCTGTGTTGGTGCCCCCCACCCCACCGTCCTCAGCGCCATCTACCATACAGCGATTGGATGCTAGAAGAAGTAGAAAGTCCACGCATGTAACGCTATGGTTATAATTAATATAATGTAATATACTAAATGTACTGTAGACATCACAGTGTATTTAAGTTACAGATGTTTGTGTGACCCCCCTCCCTCCACCACAAACCTAACAGTTAACCAATGCTGGAAACAAATCAACGAGGTTTCTTAGCTTACTTGATAAAAAAAAAATGCATTGTACATCTTCCATTTAGTACGTTCTATAGTTTTAACAATATTTGTTTAAATTTAAGTGGTTTTTCTAAAAGCTAGCACTCCCCTCCCCCCGAACGAAATGGAAATTTATATAGAAAATATATTCTACTAACAGTATTTACCCCCCCCCCCCCCCCCACCCACCCCCCGAGAAAAAAAGTCTGGAAGAAACACTGAGCTGCGTCAGTTGAAAACGCTAGTATACAAGTCATATAAGTTCTTACATTGTTTTGACTTTCAAAGTCATCAGGTCCTACAAAGTCATAAGGTCCTACAAAGTCGTATGGTCTTACACTAAATGTCAAAATCAGAAATTCTTACGCTAAATGTCAGTCAAATATATGGTCTTACACTAAATGTCAAGGTCATAAGGTACACTAACTGACAGTTGGGTTACCTGGTTGTGGGACCTCGTTGCTGGGTGGCAAAGAAAACCACCCAAAGTCCAGCGGGTTCTGTTTGGTGGGGTTGCCGTCAGCAGATGTTTGCTCCTGGCTGTGGCCGCTGTTGTTTACGTCACTGGGTTGACTTGCGCCTTGTCGGCTCATGACACGTCCTGTGTTCGCCCTGGACATTGTCGTTGTTTCTGTAGGAGAGAACACACAGAGCTGCCGTGTATGTTCATCTGACTGATACACTTTGCGAGGATAGACTAAATTCTAAACGGAACTTTTATCCTTATTTGTTCTAAGTACCGGTGGCGTAGGCAGGGTGTGTTGTGAGGGTGGGAAGTAAAACTACCCTTTTAGAACCTGGTCCAATTGTCCATTGAAAAAATTAATTAGAGTTCACAACACGACATTCAATGATAGTGGAGCCATTATTTTACCCAGCCGCCTTTACTTTCCAGAGAACACATTGGCTAACTAAAAATATCAGTATGGCGCTAGCAATTATAGAAGTAGGCTACAGAAAGTAGCTTGCTTCCTTTGACGAAAATTAATCTTGACACTAGAGAAATAATTATGGGTTCGCTGAAGCTGATTACGTTGGAATGTTATCTACAAATGATAAATAACCTGCATAATAGGTCTGTAAGAGATGGATGGTGGTTCTAAGACATTATACCCCCCCCCCCTGGATTTCTTTCATGCAGCTCTCCAAGGTAAGGGGGGGGGGGGCAGAGGCGTAGCGACCCTACTCGGGGACAAACTTTTCGATTTGCACCCCCCCCCCCTCAAACTTTCGATTTGCACCCCCTCGAACTTTTCATTTGCACCCCCCCCTCACACTTTTCATTTGTACCCCCCCTCACACTTTTCATTTGCACCCCCCCCTCGAACTTTTCATTTGCACCACCCCCCCCTCAAACTTTCGATTTGCACGCCCCCCTCAAACTTTCAATTTGGCGCCCCCCTAAGGTCGGCGCCCGGGGACATATGTTCCCCCCGCCGCCCCCCCCCCCCCTCGCTACGCCTCTGGGGGGGGGACTGGCTTCCCCCACCTCCCACCCTTCCGTCAGGAACTCAAAATAGAACAAATTTATATAGAAAGCGTATAGGCCTACTTCAACCAGGGTGTGTGCCGCCCCTCCCCCCCCCCCCTCCCCAGGAAGATCAATGTCCATAAGAAACGCTATATCCCTTTCATTGCTACGATTGTATTACCCCCCCCCCCCCTCCACCCGCTCAGTAATACCACCGTATGGAGAAATAAAAAGCCACGTGATTACAATTGGGAACGAGTCATAGCGGCTGTCAAAAGTGGGTGGCAGAATTGCTGCGAATCACATATTGAGTTGTGCCTAACATTGGTCAAGTCGGCTTTACATAGAATCATAGATCTAGATCTACAATACGACAAATTATAGATCTATTTATAGAACTATAAATCTATGTTTTCACAAGGAACTGCTCTGCAATTAAATCTATCCGTGTCCCTTTATGTAATTAACCCAACACAGTTTGAGCGGTGTCTCACCAAAAGTCCGTATTATACGACTGGTGTCCGGAAATAATGTCACCGTTGTTATCCTTACACAAAGTAACCAGCACAACACAGCTATGGAAATACGGCGCTTTTGTTTAAAGACAGTGCAGCGTTGTGTACACTGTCTCGCACCACTGAAGCCTGTTCTTGTAATTTGATAAATGGAAGCTGGATAGTAAGTTGAATGGTGTCCCATCACAAAAGATTCTACTGTATAGGACCCGGTATATTTGGTTGTGTCAGTGTAGTTAAAAGTTAAATTAAAGTAACCTTTTTTTTTTCGGACCTGGAGCTCCGGTTACAGTATAAAGGGATCACGGGTGGTCAGCAATATGCTCAGCCACTTTACTTTTACTTTCCCTAACGTGAGTCTGGTGCGCACCAAAGCTTGGCGGACCAACGGAGTTTTACGGAGTCTAACCCGGGATCTGACCTCTAGACTTTCGTGTTAGCAGTCTGCGCTCTGCCGTCTGAGCATGCCGTAATTAACTGCGCAAAAAAAAAAAAAAAAAAAAAAAAAAAAACAACGAAAGAAAAAAAAAAATAACATTAACTCAACTTGACTTGATGTCAAGAGTCTTGAAATAGTTAGATTTGGGCCCTAAAATAAATCAGTTTAACACACTCAAGCTCCCTTCTTAGAGATTCTTTCAGGTATCTCTCCATGCCCCCCCCCCCCTCCCCGGAGCACGTCCATTCACCCATGGCGAAATAGACACACACACACACACACACACACATATATATATATATATATATATATATATATATATATATATATATATATATATATATATATATATATATATATATATATACATGCCTATATGTATATATATATATATATTGAATACTTTACCAGTGTCTGGCCCCCGCAAATTTTTCCCCCGGTAATTTCGAGTGCCCCCTCTACTGACATATAGATCTAGGCCTACTATACATATCTAGAAAAAAGAAAACTTCGCAAGAAGTAAGAAGCCCCCGAGTTTCTTATCCATGCAGGCATCTCTTCGAAGAAAATCCCCCCCCCCCCCGAAAAAAAATGGAATATATATAGAAAATATATACTTTGACCAGTGTCCGCCCCCCCCCCCCTCCCCCCCGAAAAATTTAGTCCGCCTTCCCGAAAATATCAAACCCCCACCCCTGAGAAAAGTCTGAAAGAAACACTGGTAGCCCCCCCCCCCCCCCCACACCACCCCCTCCTATACCGTATACGTGTTCTAATAAAATCAACTTATGGTGAAGTTGTTTTTTTTTTTAAGACGACTATAACAAACGCGGTGTTTGCTGGACTGTAGAAAGTCGGATATTTTCTTTGAGGTTTACCATAATAATGTCTCTCATACATCCATTAGGACTGATTGAAATTCGCATGAGCACCACCATCGATAGTAATATAATATATCCTTGCCTTAGTCATTATCTTATTATTGTCTGATATATCCCATTTGCATGGCAGTCATTTTAATTTCATTATGATTTGTTTTAGTTTCTTTTTATACTTATATTAGGCTAATTATTATTATAATTTACAAAAGGCAGCTTATACTATGGTCTAGCTAGATAAAATCAAGCAAGCATAAAAGTTAATTTTAAAAATAAAACTTTAGCTCTTTATTTCTGAAGATCAGAAACGCTTTATGGCCAAGATAAAGATGGCGGCCATTCGTTTCCTATCTCTGCAAAAATGTTTTATTCATTTTTTGTGCTTTTTGTATGTAACAGTAAAATAAAATAAAATGACTTAAGTGCTTTGTGATCGAATATGCATAGGAGTATTATTTTCATTTATTGATATATTTGCAACAAACTACATTGCAATGGATAACCATTTTGTAAGTGATGAAAATGTGCAGATGATTCTCGCAATGGGATTTCCATCAGAATCTGAAGTGCGAAGAGCTTTGCGATTAGCTAAAAACGACCCAAGTGATGCAGTTGCTATTCTTACAAATGAACCACATTCGTCGTATGATGCTGTAGAAGAAATGGATGTTGATTTAAAAGAAGGAACAATAACTTCTAGTAGAACTTATGGTCCCCAACTGCCACCTGCCTATGAAGAAGTTTGTCATGAAACGGGTCAGGTTACAAATATCAACAAGGTATGTTTTGCTTTTGTTATATAAAACTGATAATTATTTACATAAGATTTCATACAGATCATAACAGTCAATAGACTTTGTAATTTATGGATATTATCGTAGTCGATAGTAGGCCTAATCAGCCCTAATTGTTATGCCCTAATTAAATTTTTAATTAGGCCTAACTAGTAACTAAGCCTATTATTTTATTAGCTATTGATTGTATGAACAGATGTGACTATGTTTAATTATTAAACATTTAGTTCATTTTGGCTTAACTGCAGAGATTATTTTAGAAAGAATTTTATGTTTTTAAAAACAAGAACTGCAATTTTTAGTGATGTTTTAGGCTAAGGTATCATCTTAAAAGGCCAGACCAGGGACCCCCATTGAAAGGGAGGTCTAGCTGTTTGTGATGGTAGGTTAAAATAGTCTGAAAAGTGTGATGTCATATATATAGATGACCCCATACAGACCCATGTATTCTGGCACTGACAGGAAAATAATGATGATAATTCGCCTATAAATTATTGATGAAGAGGCAAACCCAAACAGGCATTAGATTTTGTAAACTAAAATAAACCAGCAAAAGTACCAATTTAACTTTATGTATTTGCAGGATATTTCTTCAATGTTTTAGCTATATTATGTTTCAGGCTGGTCTAACAATGGGTGAAGCTGGTTGTATGGATGAAGCCAGTAATATGGAGTTTCCAGTAACCAACCTTTTTGAATTGGAATCAAGAGTTTTTACTGATATGTGGAACATTCCATTTAAACGAGAAGAATCCTTGGGGAAATGTTTAATAGCTTCAACGCGTCTTATGGAAGCAGGTATGTTTGTATAGTTTTTATGTTGAGCTTCTAAACTAAAGCTAGCTTTCTTAATATTTGCATGTTAATTCTTTAATCTTATAAAATTGTTCAAAAATTTAGATTGAAATATTTAATAATAAATTTTCAGATGTATATGTTTGTATTGTTAATTGAATATTGGCTGCAAAGAGACATAGAGTCGACATTATGAAAGTCTTTTCCAAAAGTTTTTTTAATTCAGTTTTTTTAATTTTCTTCTTAGTCTCTACTTCCTTAATACAATATTTTTTAGGAAAATAAATGACTAAGCTGTTGATTATGTTTCCTCTCTTAGGATGTTTTATGATATTCATCTAAATTCTTGTTTGCTGCATTTAAGTGTCATTATTAATTAATTTTACACCAAACAAATCCAGATTTGTGGATACAAGATCATTTTTCATGGCCAGTAGTTTACTCAACTCCAACCAAAAATTGTTCCCTCATTTAAAATAAAGTTAAATGCATTTATTTTTCATTTTGTGGTTGTACTTGCTTTCTTTCCAGGGTATATATTTCAATTTAATTTTTCCTCTTTTTGACCACATAAATAATTTGTTTTCTCAGTTTTCTCATCCTGTCTTTATTATGTTGGTCTGCAATTATTTAAAAAAAGCTGATTATATTGCAACTTTCTATTTAAAAACCTTTAACTTTTTACAATTTTGATGTATTTCAGGTCTGGCTGATAGTGATGAGCATTGTAGGCGCTTTGTTGATCGTTGTATGCCTGAAGCATTCAGCAAGGTACACTGAATCATATATTGAACTTAAATTTACGTTGAAGATGAGCTACTTTTTCTTTGATTTCATATTAAACATTTCATTTATTTTTTCACATATATTATTTTAATTTCATTGTTTTAGCATTTATTGCTTTTTTTTTTTTTGTTATTGGTAAAAGTGTAAACAAACCAAATTTTTTGCTGATTTTTTTTTTAAAAGTTAATTTTTGGCAATGGAAATAAATTAAAAGTTAATTTATGTATAAACCAACTCTATTTAACAGCTGCTGACTTCAAATGCTGTCCATAAATGGGGCATTGAAATCCAAGAAGGAATCTTTGATATGCTAGGATTGTTGATTGAGTTAGTGGTATCTTCACTTAAACAAGGCAGCATTCATCCTATTTTAATGGATTGTCTAAAACTGGTAACAATTTTTTTTTAAATGTCAAAGTTCTTTAAAAATGATAATTCTTGTCTCGTAATGTTTCTGTCTGCATCTTAAATTTTTTACAGTTATGCAAAGTAAAACTTTAAAAAACTATTTTCTTTAGGATATGGTTCCTGTGTAATACATAGGGTTTTGAAATTAATTCTTAACTTTAATTTTAAATTTCAGATCTGTCATTGTTTGTGCATTAGGAATTGTGCATTTTAAGACAAAAATTATAATAATGGTTTTTTTCACACACACACACACAGACACACACATTTTATTTTTTAGGACACTCAACTATCCTTATATTTTAATTTACAATCTTGAATCAATTAGCTGTATTTAAAATAACATTATTTAAACAGATAGTCCTAATTTTTTTTGTATTTTGTTTCCTTTCAGGCATTTAGCCCAACCACAGAATTTCAGATAAAAAATCAAAATAAACGAGACTCCCATGTAACATGGGAGGGGAGATTTGAAGGCAGCGCTCCTCCAGCTGTCATTCCACCAAGTACCAACAGGCAGTTTAATGTAATGACTTTCTTCTTATTTGTGTCTTTCATATTAGCATTGACTGTCAATCACACACATGTAAAAGTGTAGTAGAAAAGAAATTAAATTATAGGAATTAAACTGATAGGAACTTTAGTTGTAGATTTTAACCAGTAGATTGTTCATTTAGGAACTTTACTAAAATACTTTAAAATTGTAAAGATAATTTATTATGTAAACAATGCAGAACAGATCAGTCAGTTATCCTATGGAAGATAAAGGACTGTATGAATGTTATTTTGTTTCCATCTTATAATTTCAATTTTTTTTTAACTGCAGGGTCCATATGGTTGGTTGACCAACCTAATCAACACTGTAAGTTTAATTTTAAAACTCTACTTATGTGATAAACAAAAGAATACATCATTCCATAAATTATGTTGCTTTTTATAAAACTAATTAACTTAGAGACTAAAGAATACACAATAAAATGTGTGTTCGGTTGCTTTTATTGTAAAATGAGTAAACTTGTAGACTTGCAAATCTCTTTATTTTGTAGGACTGTATGCCTTCTTAGCTGGCAGAGTAAATATAATTATTCACTTTTACCCCTGTGTCCTTTTAGTTTGCTTATCAAGGAGGATTTGATTACATTAAAAAACAACTGGATTCTGATGATTTGGATATTATGGTAGGAACACTTTTTAACAAATAAATTTGATTTACTACATACAAACCCTATGTTTAAACAGTGATAGTTATTTCTTCAAATGTGTAATTTTCTAACTACATCGGTGTATATACTATTTTGTTTTAACTTCCATATATTTACAAAAAAATTAGAGTGGTTTCCTATATTATGAATTGTTATTAAGATTTAACTCTTTATTTAGAATATGTCATTGCTTCTGCGTCCCTTTGGTGCTTGTGCTGACTTCCTTAGTGAGACAGTAATGAACTCGATGTTTAGACCAGGTATGGAAAAGGCAGTAAAGACGATACAGGCCCTAGAAGAAAAAGACTTTAAAGAAAAGGTGCTTTATTCGGAAAATCCTTTTAAAATTCAATATTTAAGATAGTTTTAAAAATTATATTTCTGGTATACTTAATATTCTAGAATCCCTTCTGCATTGACAATTTTTTTGTCCAGTTTCTTTTTATGTTTGTAGAATATGAAAGATTAAGTGTTTTGTATTTGTTTTTAGAAAATAGGAAATGTATCTGATCTATTGAGCTCAATGAAGCTACTGTGTCTGCAAATGTGGCCACAGGATGTGGATAAGCTTGATGATCTTCGACTGGCTGTTACTCTTCGTATGCTAAAATCTCCACATTTTAATGCTAAAATGAATGCGCTAAAAGAGGTTTGACATCTTAACATTATAATATTAAGGAGTTGTCTATAAATTACATTTTTTAAAAACATTTATCCATTAAACCAATTTGTGCCACATGTCAGTTTCTCCTCTTCCCAAATATTTTTTTTTTTTCAAAACAGTAATTTTATATTGAACTGGACCATACATTTTTATCACAGTTTACAGATATGTCTTTAAAAAATGAAAAAAAAAGTTCTGAATTGCAGTTCAAAACATTACTTTTTAAAATATAAAAGTGTGATGTCCCAATACTTTTTATTTGGTTTTTATTTAGATTACATGTACAATAATTACCCATGTGAATAGGATTGGTGCAATCTTTAAAAAAATGCTTAAATGTTTTAAATAAGTAACTATAATATTGCTTCACTTGTTGAAATATGCTACCGATGTTAAACAATAAAAAAATTGTACAACAGTATGTTGATATTTAAAAATCTATTCTTAATGTTTCAATATTTTCTGCAGGTGACAAAATTAATTGATGAGCTGAGTAACACAAAAATTAGCAAGTCCCTCATTATTCCAGATGAGAAAATTCTAGATTGGCTTGTGGAGAACAAAATTTTATCCATAGCTTTAGAAGGTAAAGCATTTCACAGTCAAAAAAACTTTTAGTTTGTTTTGATCCTATGTATTTTGCTTGACTAGCACCACTGAGAGACTCATTCTCCACATAGTCAACTATAAATGTGTCCTACTGGTGTCTGTTGATAAATATTTTACCTGATGATAAGCAAAATTGTTTAATGTTGAACAACTTAAAATCTTATACAAATGTAACTGATAAATATTTGAAAAATATAATCTTTGTCTAATGTTATAGAAATAAATATAACTGGATTAAAGCTAATTAACCATACCCACATAGTGACAATTCTTCTTCCCTTGATGTAAACAGTATTTTTCTGTGTCAGCTGTCTAATTAAAAGTTTGAAATAAATAATAGTACCTGTATAGTACAATTTATTTGATGTGTTTTATTTGTTTAGGAAACATTGACCAGGCCCAATACTGTGATAAAATTAAAGGCATTGTTGATTTTCTTGGATCAAAATTATCATTGGATGAGCTCTCAATGATTTGGAAAATGCAGGTAGCTTGTAGACAGATTAGTTATTTAAGTTTTAGAACTCTTTAAATCAGAAAAAAAATTAGGATTTAAAAATACTTAGGTTTTCTAAAGACAATAATTTGTTGTTTGTTTTTGTGCGTGTACATATGTATATATCTTTGTTTTTAGTCAAGTGCAAGTTATGTCATGTTTTAGAAAGAGTATCTTGTATATTTTCATACAAATATATTTTTTGATTAATAAAGTATTATATAAACAATTCTATAGAATGGTAATGACTACTGGATGTAATAGTTTTTAAATTGTTGTGTACAAATACATTCTATAGAATGACAAATAGATATTATAGTTTTTGAATTGCTATATACAAAAAATGCATATGAATAAAATATTTTCCAGAATGGACAGACAAATAATGTCATTGACAACATACACTCCATTATAGCAGCAGCTGCAGTAAAATTTGATTCTAACCAATTAGAACATCTTTTCTTACTAATACAGAAGGTAATGTAAATTCTTTTTAATTTTTAATTTTATATTAGAAAAAGATACTTTTTATTTCAAATACAACAGATTTTTTATGTTCAGACTTCAAAGCATAACTTAAAGAACTGCAGTGAAGTTGCACTTGAAAAAATATTAATATGTGAACATAAATATATGAGATGGTGTTATGTTGTCAGCAACATGTCCAGCTGCCTTTACATTTCCTAAATTAGCCAGGTCCATATGAGAAATGAGAAATCAAGGACACCCAGCACACTTCTGAGCAAATAGGTTATTTCAACTCAACATTGCATTGCTCCAAGCATCATCTTTTATTATATTTATTACTTGCAAATGTGATACTTTTTGCAAATTAACTTTTTCCACATAATTAAGTGCATGTTTAAAAATATTATTTTAGCATTTGTACTTTTTTTCTGCATGTTACTGAAGAAATGGCAAGATGATAATGATAGGACTAGAGGAAAGCTTCTCACTTTGATTGGCAAGATAGGAAAGGATGCTAAAGTAGCTAAAACAACTACAAGAGTAAGTTGCTTGATGTTATCTGAAGTTTTTTCATTTTCTTTTATTTATTGTTTTTCTGATTTTTTTGTTTTATATTCTATGCATGGTTAAATGCAGCTTGAAAATTTATAATTCAAGTCTTATATACAAACTACTCCAGATTATCCAGATATATCGGTTATCTAAAAAAAATTTTTTTGCTTAATTCATATTTCATTTTGCAACATATTTTACAAACAACATATATGGATATCTTTTACTCATATTATTAAAGTATAATTTTTTAGTTATGGAATAGTCTAAGATTTTTAAAAATATATAATTCATTTAGATTGTAAATTTTAAAAATTTATGTTTTATTTTCAATATGTTGCCAGATTGTAAAAATTTAGTTTATTCTTTCTATGACTTGTAAAAATCTAAAACCACCTAATGCAATAAATTGACCAATTGAACTGGTTTTGTCTTCTACCAGGTACTGGAACTACTCTGGGACCTGGCCCACTTGCCATCCTTAAGTACATCTCTAGTAGAGCAAGCCCTTGATGAGCACCATGCTATTCTATCTGATTCCTACAGTGTCAAGGAGCAAGTCAAGCTGCAATATGTTTGTAAATGTGTGGATGACATAAAAAAGGTAGCCTTTATTCCTAGAATTTATTTTATTTTACAAATTTTTAATCTCATTAAACACATTGTCTCAATGTACTTTTCTGAGTGCATTCCTCTGATCCCCATTCACTTTATAACTCTTGCTTGGTCAATAGATATTATATTGAAGTTCAAAACCCAAAATGTATATATAAAAAAAATGAGTATAATGAGTTTAAAAAATACTTTTCAAATATTATTAGTACTGATGATACTAAAATATATCACCTTGGCTGTTTTTCATGTAGTTTACTAGCAGTTTAGAGAGCAACAGCCTGCTCATATCTCTATCCTGTTCTAATTTATTGTTTTTATGTTAAACTTAATCATCACCTAAATTTTGTTTCGTAAATGTTGTTGAGAAATTTTTTTAATCTCATGTGTTCATTTGAGCTTATTGAATTGTAATATTTAATTTCTCCCACTTACACCATACCAACTTGTTGCAAACATTGCTCCTGTATTTAATGCAAGGTTTTATTATCTTGGCAGAGTGTTGATGTTTTTCTGCTGTTTTTCATGTCCTCAGGGTGCATGTGTACTGCCAGCTCTACGACAGCTGATGTCAATCAGCAAGAATATCATAAAAAACACAGTCCAGAAAACTGACAACAAGGTAGGGGAACCTACTCTGGTCTTATGTTAATTGTACTGTTATATTGGTTAGCTGTCCCTGGAGATTTTAAAGCTAAACATTGTATCTCATTTGCAGGGAATTATTAATGAATTAAACAAAGGGAGTGATGTCATAAAGCTGGTGACAAACAGTCTGGTCAAATGCCACAAGCATGCGTCTTCACTTGTTGGAGATGGACAGCTCAAGGCGACCACAATGGTGGACGGCCGCTACCCACATTCTGATGTTTGTACTTTTTATCTGACATATTTATTTCAACTTATTACAGTATCTTAGAAACAGGATGATTGGCAGCCTTTTTCCAGCAGTTGCTTGTTATTGATAAACATTGATGTACTAATGATGTTTTCTTTATTCATAAAGATATTATATTCATAAAGTACTTGATTTTGAAGTAAATAAACTTCTTAGTCTTTGTTACCTTTAGTTAAAGTAGTAGTTAAAAAAACAAAGCACATTTGAAATTTCTAAATTTTTCTGACTGAAAAAAAACTTTTTTTTGCAGTATATATCGACCCATTTAAATTTTTTGAGATATGTTTTACAAGCCGGAGACTTGTATTTACCTTGGAGTCGAGCTCGGGATATTTGGACAACTCTTGTTGCTAACCCAAAAGCTTGTGAATGGGACAGAGAGGTAACTCAAGACTCACTTTTCTTTGTATTTAATGTGTACAGTTAGCTCCTGCTTTTGGAATTGAAGGTTACAAAAAAATGCAGCAAATCTATACCATAATCATAATAGTTTTCTAACTTACATATTTGTATTTGTTTGGTTTAGACTAGCTATGAATGGTTCCGTAATGGAATTATGGATTTAGAAGTGGATACACAGAATCAGCTGTTTCAGAAAATGATCCTTAGTATAGATCCTGCAAAGTTAAGTGAAAATGGTACGTTTTTCTGAATTTAATTTCTACATGCATATTATGTTATTGGTTTTATTTTTAAATATACATCATGTAGATAGTTGCTATTTTACTCAAGTTTATGTTCATTCATTTTTTCTTAAATCATCAGTATGTTTATATCTGTACTTTTAAAAAAAAATTTTAAACCATATTTAATATAGCTATATAATTTGTTGAATGTTTTCTGTTTTCTATGGGTTTAAATGGATTGTAGCAACCAATAATTATAATTAGCCACTGACAAACCATATATTTTAACATGATTTTTTTTCTCTAAGTTTTACATGATTTTAGTGCTTTTTAATCATGATAATCATTAATTATAATTAGCCGCTGATTAACCACATATTTAAATCTGATTTTTCTCTAGGTTTTATGTGTTTTAAGTGTTTTTTTGAGCGTGTCAACCAATACGAGCAACGCTTGAAAAGTGCCAATGACTCCATCGTGGTGGAGAAAACTGAGCTCATAGGCTTAGATTATCTTTGGGAAATCTGCCTCCATGTGCCTGACGAAGCTATTGCTGATCAGTCTATCAGAATGCTGTTAGGACTCAGTTATGCAAATCTGTTACCAAAGTTTAAAAAAGTAAATTTTTCAACATATTTTCTTGTTTTATTATTATTATAAAATAGCTTGACTATTCATTTTAAAATTTTTTATCATTTAGGTATTTATTTGTCTTTACCATATAAATGCTAAGGTATTGTGCTTCAAAAGTTACATTAAAACTGAAACTAGTTTTTCAGGTAATCCTGTTAATTTATTAAACACTTTGTTTTTATTTGTTCTGCATTTCATTTTAATTTTTCCAGGAACCTGTTGCTTTACATAAAAAGTTTATCAATGAATGCTACACAAGATTAGAAGTGAGTATTACAATCTATTGTGTCTGTTTGTAGCCACAGAACTACAGGTGTAGTCAGGCTTACACGTCCTCAGGAGTAAACCCAGGTGTTGCATAAGTTCAATAAACTGACATGCCCTGTGAAGTAGATACACGTTTTAGTCTTTTTCTAGTCTTTGGATTCATTACCTTCACCTTGCTATCTTAAAAATTTAACACCTAGGTGATCCATACATGACCTTTGAGGTACAAAGGTTGAAGGTAACTCAGCTTGAGCTCAATTTTCATGCTGTGCTATGAGCTTGTTGTCATGTAGAAATTGTGGTTTGTTAGAGATGAAGTACTGTTCCATTGAAAGATATCATGTGGTCATCTTTTTGTGTTTCCAGACAGCAAAGATTGGAGTGGGTGGAAATGTTGTAGCTCAGACTGTTTCAAATGCTACCAAAGTTGTCACAGCAGCCCTCGTTCCTGATGTTGCCAATGTACCCTTACCCTCCAAGTAAGTTGACTGCTTGACAAATACCTTTACATTACCTTTTGAGTTAGTTGACTGCTTGACAGATACCTTTACATTACCCTTTGAGTAAATTGACTGCTTAAGAGACACCTGTATATTACCATCCGAGTGAACTGACTGCTTGACCACCTTATTTCAACAATACCCCACATAGAATTTTGCTAGTGGTAAACACTATACTCACTTAGATAATCTCTGCTGGCTATGAAAGAAGTACCAAAACATCTCTTATAATCTATTCTAAACTAGTGTTCTTATTCTATGATTACCCCTTTGTCCATATTATCTTTTCAGGTCAATTAAAGTATTAGCCATAGAGAGATTGTTATGGATAGCTGAGGCCTACATTTTATCTGTTGAAGAAATTTATTGTGTACCTCGCACCATTTTGGCCCATGGGGCATCCTTCCATGGATATCAGTTGAACATTGTAGTGAAATGTGAACCTTTGAAGGAGGAGTTCATCTTACAGGTAGGAATAGTGAATACCTTGAAAATAGTCTTAAAGCTTACAGTAAGCTCCAGTGATTTGTGACAGTTTTTTTTTAATAGGTAGTAAAAATTGAAAAACAAGTTGTCATCAGTGTGTAAAACACAATTTTTTCACTGTTTTAAGATTAACATTACTCCTTATTTGTTCCCTTGCTGTTAGTGTAGATGGTGTACTAATAGTATTATCATCTCTTTATTTAATTAATTTTTTTACATGAACTAGTGTCATAGCAATGAAAGACTGGGGTCAGTGAGGCAGAAAGTCTTGAGTCGTCTCAACCAACCCTCGGACCATGTCCAGATGCACACCAATGATAAACTGGTAACAACATCTTTTAACCTACATTGTTACCATGAATTGTTTAAATTAGTTTTATGACTTTAAAAACATTGAAACATGTATAAATTGTGAAACAACTGCAGTTGAAACAGATTTGTATTAGAAATAGAACTACATACAAATTTTGTCACCATCCTTGCAAATGTACAGAATGTTTAACTTAGCAGACATAATACAAACTGCTAGAAAAAAAAATTACAAGCTGGTTTATAGGGTTAAAATGTAGTTAGCTCCATTAAAAATGTTCATGTTTTGTGCATGTTTGCAATGCTTAAAACCTATCACTGTATCTGACCTCCAGCTGTGCATGACCAAAGACCAGCTGCTACTTCACCAGCTGGACTTCACAGAGACCAGTGTGCTGCAGGTCCACCTGGGCACCTCCTCCACATCCAAGTCAGGCTCCACATCTGGGGCATCTGGTCCTAGCACAGCCAGTAAAGAGGTAAGCTGGATTCATAACCTGAGCCTGGCTTTTTTTTACATATCTACATCTTATATCTGTGCTGAATTAAGAATAGCATCATACCTGTTACTTGTACCATACTGTGTTTGCTTTTATCATAATGTGATCACATTTTTTTTCATTAGTATCAAACTGTATTATTTTATATCATAATGCTATCATCACATCTGTTTCTAGGACCAAACTGTGTTATCCTCTATCATACTGCTCTCACATCTGTTACTAGTAACAAACTATTATCCTGTATCTTAATACTATCAGATCTGTCATTAGGCCTGTATTTGCCTGTTTTATACTGCTCTCACAGGGTACCAGCAAAGAGCCCTCAGATGCAGGAGATTCTGTGGCCATGCAGACTCTTAGTTCATCTGGAACTCTTAAAATGGGGGCAGGTGGTTATAGTAAAGAGGTGAAGAGCTTAGATTTTGTTTCATTTCTTTTGTATAGTGGTGATTTTTGAAATTTTTTTTTTTTAATTCTTATTTCATTGGTGTGACTAAAATACTTATAACTTTTAATAATTTACCATCAGAAGATATACTTTAAAATTAAAAGTAAATTAAATGATAATCTAATGATTTTGCTGTCTCTATCACCAGACATCAAGCACCACATCTAAACAAAACTATGACATTGAACAGGTCAGTATAACCTTTTAAGCAAAAAACAAAACTTAAGATGCCATTTTGATTAAAAGAAAACTGAAAATAGCTTCACACTTCCTAGGTAGATTTAATTTTGCCCATAACCTGTTAGTTTCAAGCTATTTAATTGTCTGATCACTATACTTTAGTTTAAACAGATGTGAAAATCTTTTTTTTTTAAACACATTCTTTATTGCATTATATTTATTTCATTAATAGCAAAGCTACAGTATCCATTTAAATTTGAAAAAAGTATCCATTTGTTTTTTATTTGTTCCACAATAAAACTAGATACCCTGATATTTATTTAAGTGTCAGAATCTAGTTAACTGTTGATGCTCATCAAAAATTATTCTTAAAAGGCTTTTTTTGCTATAACATGGCAAGTTTAACAAGGTTATTTCCTAAACAAAATCGATCATGGTTATTTTTTAAAATTGATAAATGATGAAGACATTGCATGTATTTCTTCCAGGAGAAAATGTTGCCGGGTGTTGTGATGGCAAAAGATGGAGAAGTTTTTGACATGCTATACCAGCTTACAGAGCTAGATGAACCAAAGTAAGTGCTTTTTAGTAGTGTATTTTAGACTGTTTCATACTAAAGTGAGTAGAGGTCACGTTTTATTAAAGTAGGCTTCTTTATACCATTGTATAAGTAATTTTTTTAGTAGGCCTCGTCACCTTCAATAAAGATAAGGTCCTTTGCTTTAACTGACTAGAGCCATGTGTAGTGCTGACATTCAAGTATTTACTGTTGATGACATTTTTAATGTGAATGTGATATGAGCTGAATGTATTATTTGTTCTAACCCCAGGATCACCAAACGTGTACAGAAGCTGTTGATGTTGATACCCACAGACCCTGCAGTCTCTGATGCTCTGGATTTGATTGGTCAGAAAGTAAGGAATAATTAATTCAATGATTCTTATACACAAATGTCCTTGAATGCTTTTTTGTGCCGAATTTTTCAATTATTGGCTGGAAGCTTCAGTCATTGTCTGGGAGCTTCAGTCATTGTCTGGAAACTTCAGTCATTGTCTGGAAACTTCAGTCATTGTCTGGGAGCTTCAGTCATTGTCTGGAAACTTCAGTCATTGACTGGAAACTTCAGTCATTGTCTGGAAACTTCAGTCATTGACTGGAAACTTCAGTCATTGTCTGGAAACTTCAGTCATTGACTGGAAACTTCAGTCATTGACTGGAAACTTCAGTCATTGGCAGGAAGCTTCAGTCATTGGCAGGACGCTTCAGTCATTGGCAGGAAGCTTCAGTGTTTAAGTAGTTGTTATAATTACATTTTTGGTTTTCTAACATTTGTCTAAACCTTTCTGCATTTCACCTATACTATTCACCATCTACTAACAATCAACGTTTTTTTCTAGCAGTACATCAAATCTGCTGTGTCTGTGGAAGATTTGTCCGGTGCTAAGTCAAGTCCCAGGAAGTCTGTCCCCACCTCAGCATCCAACCCTCGCCTGTCCCCTAAAGAGGCCATGAAGTATTTGTTTGACAGCAGCCAGCCTGACATGAGTGCCTTCAGGGTCTTGTACAACTTAGAGGTAGCTATTCTAAATATTCAAATTATAAGTTTACTTGATTTATTATTGGTTCAAATAATAAGTATAATTTAAGACCTTAGTGCTAAAAGTTTTAAGTCACCAAATAATCATTTTGAGTTCACAAAGTCAAATTTGCTATATAACATGTTTCATTTTTATATGGTTGCTTTAAAGGTGGACTTGATCTAATACTTCCACATACTTTAGATAAAGTCTATCTAGAAGAATAATGATCATTGCTTGGTTTTATTTAAAAAAATAGCAAAAATGTGACTTATGTATGTTTAACACTAGGCTAGTCAAGATTGATTAAATTAATTAATGCAAAATTTAGGTAAAAAAAACCTTTTAATAAGCTTTTATTAGTCGAACCATAGAGAATATGCTTGCTACATTTAGATTGCATGGTCAGTGATGTTTTTAAGTCTTATTGATCATATCCCAACCTAACCGCTCCCAGAGTTATTCCTGTGGTGTGTTGTATTGAAGATAAACGACTGGATCATTAACAGTTGACTACATGGGTGTTTCTATATCCTCTTGCTGTCTGTCTGGACTAAAAGCATTGCTTAAAATTTTGTATGCCAGTGTAGAAAAGATGAGAGAACATTTGAATAAGCTTTAATTTTTAAAAAAAAAGGCTTCTCTATGAAATCCACCCAGCTCTGATGGGTACCTAACTTATTTTAGGGAAAGTAAAGGCGGCTGGGCATAAAGCTGACCGCATTATCCCTTAATATGGCGAGGTCACAGAAACATGAACACGACTTCATCTGCTCACTGGATTACTAGGTCTAAAGAGGATTCTTTACCTACCATTGCATTGATGAAATAATAACCCTGTATCTATTGTGTAGGTTCTGAGCAGCAAGCTGATGCCCACAGCTGAAGACCCACCAGTACAAGCCACAGCCCAGAGTTTCTGCACAGAGTTCCTGCTGAATGGCGGCCTGTCCCTGGTGGTCAGTGTACTGCAGCCAGAATCTCTGCCAGCTGATATCAACTATGAGATCAGACAGGGCTGCTATTCCATCTGCCTGCAGCTAGCTAGGTTGGTTGCTCTTGTATTGGTCTATTAGTGATGAAAATAACGGAAACTATATTCACAAGTTACACTATGCATTAATATTTGTGATTACATGAGCAGTGAATTAGTTGAAATATGCTTGCAAGACAATTTTGTATTGTTTATTATGTTAAGAAATTGGCAAAAAATAGAACCATTAATGTAACCCAGTTCTAGTAATTCTGCTTTGATAATAGTTATTACTATTTGATTAGTTGTTTATTATGGTCGTGTGTTGGCTGCCGACAGAAAAATACACAAGGATACCATTACACAGCCCCAGACACCTTTCACTTATTACCACTGAATTGTATGGAGTAGTTGGTGTTGACCCAGGTTGAACAACTAATGTTTGTACTGGTCATGTAGGATGTGAGTTTGGTGTGAATCTTGTTATAGTATCAACATTTTCCCTTGCCTTTTGACCAGGTACCTTCTGTGTGGCCAAACTGTCACTGGGGACTTTGGTCCAGTACATGGGCTGTCCCGTAACAAAAGTAACAACTCTTTTTGGGAGCATGCCATACAGGTGAGTTGGTCAGCTTTATGCAATGTCTGTGTGAGCCTTGATCTCAGGGGATCTGATAGTTGACATACATGATATGACATGATAGTTGACATGCAGATGACATGATAGTTAACATGCAAATGACATGCAGATGACATGAATATGGCCATGTTTTGTTCCCCCAGAACCTGAGCAACCAGGAGTTTGTTGAGACCATCTCCTGTTTCATGAAAGTCACATGGGCGGCAGCAGCTGGTAGGCTCCACCTCCTCAGCTACAATCAGCCAATCAAAGAGAACAGGGAGGGGCTGGGGTGTGGCCATAGAAGCCGCCAAAGTAGTACAGGTAAAGATACTTTTTCTACTTTAAAAAAAAATTACATATGAACTCACCAATTTATACATACATTCAGCCTTTATAAATTTAGCCCTTAATGTATAACTCTACCACTTAATGTAAAAATTTACCCTTAAATGTATAAATTCACCATTAAATGTATAAGTTCACCAATATTAATGTACACATCACCAATAAATGTATACAGTCAATAGTTGATGTATAAATTCACAATTTAAGTAAATTCTATACAAAAAATATTTGTATGTGAAAAGATAGAAATTAAATTTTTTAATAGTTGTCATTGTTTTGTGATGAAGACTTGTAGCTGAGATTTCATTCACTGTGTTTGTCTTATTGTTTATAACAACATTATGATAAGCATTGTAGTGATGTTTGTCTCTACTGTGGATGTTCAGTAAATGAGATGACATGTGGGTGTCTCCCTCTACAGGTAGTTCAGCCAGCACCAACAGTGACAGTGATTGCCAGTCCCTGCATGCTGGCGTCTGCTCTCATCAGCTCAATATCCCCACAAAGGATGCTCATATAGCCAAGGAGGCGCTAGAAATTCTCATCACTTGCCTGCAGCTTAGGAAAGAATTACTAGGTGAGTGTGGTTACACTGCCCCATTTGTCGTGATTACACTGCCCCATTTGTAGTGGTAACACTGCCCCATTTGTCGTGGTTACACTGCCCCATTTGTTGTGGTTACACTGCCCCATTTGTCCGGACACTGAAGGGAAAAGGTGATGATGGTGTTAGCAGAACAAGTAATAATTGTGCCATGCATTGGCTGTTTTATAATTATTTTGTTCTGGCTCCACCATACAAACAATACCTGCTGTCAAGAAATTGAGCTGTTGGTTCAATTTATTTTAAAGATGGTTTAGATTGATTATCTGATTTAATGGTGTTTACTGAAAACTACTAAAAGGACAGAAAGATATCTTTTACAAAGAAGAGTTTTCTATTTTAGTAGTTACAAGGGATTGAATGGCCAGGAGCCCATATTTTTGTCCTTGTATGTAGGTAAGACCATAGCTTAATGGACTAATAGATCTCCATATTAATGGTGCTCCCTATATTTGGATCACTCCATCCCTTACATAATAAAGTTTTATCAACTATTTAATTTCTATATTGAAACACATTATAATTTATAGTTTTCTTGTTTTACTTGTCTTCCCCAGCATCTTTCTACACTTTACCATACGTGAATGACTTCATCCTGGAGCTGCTTGTCGGCTGCCCACTGGTCAACATCAGGAACACAACCCTGGAGCAGTTGTACCTGCTCTCACAGCTGGAGCTGCCCAATGATGGAGGGCTTGAGTCAGTTCAGTCCCCACGCCAGTTTATTCTTGTGCTGCTACTGAAGGCATATGTCCCTTTCTGGGTGACTTCCACCAATGCTCGTGGATCCACACAGAAGTGAGTGCACTAATTGATTGATACATACCTCATGCTTTTAGACACCTTTCACCTCATTTTAATCTATCTTTTACCAATATCTTTAAATAATAAAATAAATACTCGTCCAATGTTGTACACATTGAGGCTTTATAGAATCATAATTTTTATATTAGCAATTTTATTTAAATTCTTACCGTAACTCACATTTTTGTCTCAATGTCTGCATCAGCTAATTATTTTGATTGCTATTTATTTGTAATGTCTTATTATTTAATGTGCAAAAATATTCTACTGTTTACAATTTTGTGAATATTTTAATTGCCTATATTTTTCTTCTTTTCATTGCATTATTTAATTTTAGGTTTTTGCTGTCAATTTATTTAGAAAGATGTCTTATTTATCTAAAATTATATCTTTAGTTCAATGGTTAAATAATACCCTTCTTGTGAATAAATGTTCTGTTTTGTTACTTCCAGATTACTCCATCAATGCTCACAGTATTTTGAGCTTAGGTGCAGACTCCTACAGCATTTGCCATGTATGTTCTTTAAGTAAAACCAAAATTATTTTAATTTTTAGATGAGTAAAAATACATTTTTCACTCAGGTGTAGAAAACAAAATTACATTTTTTAACATGTGTACACTTTGTTACGTACATCATCAAATTAGATAAAAATCATCACATCAAAGTATTTACATAAATTATCAAATGAGTCTTTTTTTTTAGTACATATTACAAACACAACTTTTATTACTTTTGACATTTTGTTAATTTCTTGCCCTTATTTTTTATCATGTTTTCAGTGCTTGAGCAGAAGCGCCTTGCCCTGAACATTGAGTCCATGCTGGAGGATGAAATAGCCTGGCTGGGCAACTTCGTGCCCTCGCGCCACTCCGACCTTAACCAGACGGACAACACCCTGCTGGCCGGGCACCTGAAGCTCATCTGTACATTGCTGACCTGTGAGGGGGTGGACAAGGCAGAACATGGTAAGTAGTGTGTGGTTTGACTTGGTTATGTGGGCTGTCTGAATCTTGACATCTTTTGCCTGTCATCTAGAGTCTATGACCTTCTATGTCAGAAATTTTTTGTTCTTATCTGCAAAGCTCTTATAAAAAGTTACCCTTTGAACCAAGATGTTCACGGGGCAGGTGAAGTAGAGTTTCTGTAACCTCTGCATACTAAGGCATGGTGTAGTCAGCGCTATGCCCAGCTGCCTTTACTTTCCCTAACTTGAGTCAGGTACCCATCAGAGCTGGGTTGACTCAGGGACATCCTATTGACTTAAGCCTGGGATCCGAACTTAAAACTCTCATGTTAGCAGTTGTACAGTCTACCTGACCAAGCAGTTCATTAAACCTCCTATATCAGCAAAAGATATGTACAATAGATCCACTACTAATGTGCTTTCAACTAAAAATTGTCACCCTGTTGAACATAGAGTCACTATACTTAGTTGGTTTAGTTGTAAAGAAATATATATTTTTAACTACATTATAGGGATCTAGGCTAAGACATCTAAATGTTTAACAAGTCTTTTCTCCCCTCTCTTTTTTAGGTTCAAGCCTGGTCAGTGACCTCTTACATGACTTCCTGTTTCCTGCATCCAAGTTAATGCTGGACAGCCTGAACCAGCCCACACAAGACAGTAGCCTTGTGGAGTTTAACCCAAAGTGAGAACAATCTTCTCATAATGTAATGTTACTAACTGGTTGCTAACAGAAAATATAACAACATATTATAAAGTTATTGTATTGTAAGCACAGATTATTGTATTGTAAGAACAGTTTTTTTTAGTAACTTGAGCATTTAATGTTTAGATTCTTGCAAACTCATTTTATTGATACTTATCTTTATTGACACCAAGTAAAGAACAGAAAGCTTTTAAATATTAGTGCCTTTTTCCTAAGAAATTTTGTTGTAACCTCTAAATTTTTATGTTATGTTGACAGATGCTCAAATTCAGAATCCCGAGTGGCAGCTTATGATTTGTTGACTGAACTTGCTAACAATTGCCTGGCCAATCTTAAACTTATTTCTAAAGAACTTCTTATGATGCACCATCAACTTACAGACAACACCAAAGAGTGGGAGGTATGTAACACATGGTCCCTCAAATCCACACTCACATCCACAGTAATTTTTTTTTAAAAGTAAAAGTAAAGTGTCTTTATAAAGTATTGTGTATATTTTAGTTTTTTAAAAGTAAGCTAGATGACCATACTTTTAAAAAGTTTGTCCTAATGAAGTATAATGTAAACTTAAATTTTAATTTTAAAAAAAGTAGATGACTGCTATATTTAAAAAAAATAATTCCGTATTAAGTAACCTGTAAATTTAAGACACTATAATGATAACATTTTCTTGCTCCAGTACATGCCTCCTGTAAATGGGAGAGCTGCCTGTGGGTATGTGGGTCTCAAGAATGGTGGCGCCACCTGCTACATGAACTCTGTGCTGCAACAGTTGTACATGACGCCTGGAGTCCCCGAAGCTGTGCTCAGTGTTGACGAAGATGAGCCTGATGAAGAATCGTAAGTAGATTTGTTTTTGAGATAGTAATGTAAAGCCATATCAGACAAGAAAAATGGCTTGGCTTTGGCTGCATTGAACTGTTAAAAATAATGATTAAAAAAACCATTTTAAAATATCTGGGATTTAATAAGGACAGTGAAAAGAACATGAGAATAGTTTTGTAGATCATAGCTAAACCTGAGTCGTGTGTCCTGTTGTTGGGTTAAATTCAAACTAAAACTAAATGATTTTATAGTAGCAAGAAACAGTTCACATTTGTTTTTTAATTTGTGTAACAAAATTGTTAAAAAATTACTGATGTAATCTTTATTCAGAGAATTATATAACTGCTTTATAATTTAGTTCTCATAAAAATAGAATTGTTTTTTTCTTTTTCTTGCCTGAATGAACCCCTGACCTCGCCACTGTTTCAGAGTATTTTACCAAGTCCAGCAGATGTTTGGTCATCTGATGGAGAGTCGGCTGCAGGCGCATGAGCCAGAGAAGTTCTGGCAGGTGTTCAAGCTGTGGGGCCACACTGTGAACATCAGAGAACAACAGGACTCTTTTGATTTCTTCCAGGCCGTGTTGGATCAGATTGATGAGCATATGAAGGTAACTTACATTTTGTATATGTTGTATCTGGAGCGACTCCAATGTAATGCTTGTGGTCTGGTATGTAATGCTTGTGGTCTGGTATGTAATGCGTGTGGTTGGTATAAAATGACTATGCATGGGTTTAGTGCAGGGGTCGGCTCTTTTAATGCCAATTTGTGGCTCTCCAGTTCCATAATAATTATATTATTTTATTTTCAAAACTAAAAAAATATACTGTAACAACAAAAACAACTTTAAACAAAATAAAAAAAAAACTAAAAAATAGGTGGAGTAGAGCGTATATGGACATCTGACATCATCTGGGCGTTAGGCCCAGCCCCACATTTGTGCTGTGGCCGTGGCAATGGTTCCATGCTTTCCACCACCGAAGTGCACATAAAAATGTTAGTGGCTCTTTAAAAATTGGGAAATTTTGTAGATTTGTAACTTTGGGCTCTTCAGTCTCAAAGGGTTGACGACCCCTGGTTTAGTGACGTCATCGATTTTTCTTTATTTGTATGTGTGACTAAGGCTTAATCCCTCTTATTTTCCCTCTCTTTCACATTGTGTTTAATAAGGGCGCCAGGCCAAATGAGCACCAGCTGCCACAGGTTATAAAAATTATGCCTCCGAAATCTCTTGATTGCGATTCCGCACGGGACTTATAGTCAGTTTGACCATCCCATGTGTCATGAACGACAAAGGCCCTTTTATTGAGGGTTCTGGAATTCCGTATCTTATTGAAATAGCGTAGTTAAAAAAGTTATAGGTTTCAGAAGATGAATATGAACGATTAAAAAATTAATTTAATTATATTGACTTAAACTTTTAGATGCATAAGTTTAATTATACAGTTATACGTGACATTACAAATTCCAAATTAAATTTATTCTTTGTACATTTAAAATAATTAGAAAAATGTAAAATTACTAATGAATAATTTAAATAATATAGAGATAACCAGCCCTTGTCAAAGGGACATAATAAAATTTAAAAATATACGAATGTTATATTTGTTATCCCCCCTTAGATTCCCCTTTTCATTCAGTTAATAAAAAATAATTCTAAATCTAAATAATTTTGTCTTCTCTACACCTCCACGTATCTATTTTGTCTGTTCCCTTTTAGCCACACAGCAAATTTGAACTGCCACTCAATCATTTTCTAAAATAATTATGGAACACTGCACACAAAATACATGTTGCACTCTAGCTTTTTCTCCTTAAAGGGACATTTGCTGATAGATCTCTCTGTTTGGATTTTCTGTAGGTATAGTTTTAGATTAAAACATCATTTTCTATTTTCAGACTATTGGAAAGGAAGAAATTTTCAAGAAAAAGTTCCAAGGAATCTTCTCTGATCAGAAAATTTGTAAAGATTGCCCTCATAGGTAGTTTTAAAATACATATCTGTGTGCACCTCCCCTATTCAGTCTGTTTATGTTTTGGGTTTGACTCCTGTTTATAAACTAATCTCTCAAGTTTCTAATATGCACCTGGTAAATATTTTTAAAAAGTTTGCCATATGCCTAAACTGTGGATGTTTTATTTTAACCCAGACCTTTTATTTTTGTTGCAATAACCCTAATCTATGTATTTTTTAGATATGAGAGGGAAGAAGCCTTCATAGCCTTGAACTTGACAGTGAAGAACGCCACACTACAAGATTCTTTAGACCAGTTTGTCAAGGGGGAGTTGTTGGAGGGGGCCAATGCTTACTTTTGTGAGAAGTGTGGGGAGAAGGTTGGTTAGCATTTCTCACTTATGTGGGGGGGAAGTTGTGGTTTGTGTGTGTGTGCAAGTGTAGGGGGGGGGGTTGTTGAATCATACCTCAACAGTTTTGGTAGACTGTTAAATCCCCCTGCAGTTTAATTTGATGGTTTTTTTTGGTGATTGCACTGACAACTTTGATTCCAGAGAAACACAGTTTTGGTAGACTGTTAAATCACCCTCTAGTTTAATTTGATGTTGTTTTTTTTTGATGATTACACTGACAACTTTGATTCCAGAGAAACACAATCAAGAGGATGTGTATCAAAAACTTACCCCCCATGTTGTGTATACAACTAAAGAGGTTCGGCTATGACTGGGAGGCCAACAGGGCATTGAAGTTTGATGATTACTTCAAAGTAAGTCCTGTCATAGAAAAATTTCATTACCCCTTTCAGTACATAGTTTTCCTTTAAGTGCCAATGATTCTTGCGTTTCCTCCATTTATTCTTGGTACCTTTATTAAAATCTTGAATGTATTTCTTGTAGCAATACTATGTTTTTAAAATATTTTCCCTTTTCAAATTTTAATGTTCTTTTTTAATGTATCAAAAAATGGGCAATCTATATTTAAAAAGTGAACAAAATAAAATCATATTTTAAATTTTTGTCCAAAAATTGTTTTTGTTATATCATGAAATATTTCCAGAATGACTTAATTTAAAAATAAAAAATTCCTTTGTCAGTTCCCATGGCGACTAGACATGGAACCTTACACAGTGGAGGGGATGGCACGCAGAGAGAGTGAACAAAACGATGGGATGAGTATAGACAATCAGTCCTCATCTAGCTCTGAAACAGAAGGCGCGGCCACGGATTCCTTAAACGGTGAAATAGAATCTGGCATAGAGGCAGCATCAATTAGTTCTGAGTCTAGTCCTATACAGTATGATCTAGTTGGCATTGTGGTACACAGTGGTCAGGCAAATGCTGGACATTACTATTCTTTTATACGGGACAGAAGGTAAGCCACAATTAGAAATCTAAAATGTATCATGTATTTGTCAGTAATAATAAGGTTAGGCTCCAAGCAAATTGGATGACCATGAGGAGTATGCAACCAGCTGAACTAAGTCTATATAGAAATTATTTATTTCTACTGTCGTATACAGAAAGAGAACAATTTATGTTTATAGCTGGTTAAAACAAGGAATCATTACGAGATCTTTGTCTTATTTAGTACTGGATCGTCTGTATTATATTAATTATTACTAATGTGCATGCTCAAAAAATTAAAGAATGTGGATAGTTTTGTTACAACTGTATCATATTTTCCTACATAGATAAAATTACTAAGAAGTAAGAGTTACATTGAATTTGTTGCTACAACACCCATCATTTCTATTTTTCAAGTCTTTATGTAAACTGATGAAATAATAGATTGTACAAACACATAACATATACCAGTGTATAGCGCCATATACGTCTATATATTATTATTTTTATTAAATGCAGTACACAAATTTTGACATTTTAAAGTTATTTAAAAAAAACTTTATTATTGTTACATATTTTTAAAGTTCCATTATTTTCTGTTTGTCAGTACTTATTTTAAATAAAAAAAACTCCATTATTTACTGTTTGATACTTGTTATAATTTATAAAAACTCCATTATTTTCTGTTTGCCAGGGGTACTGTAGTCACTAACCCCAACAAAGGCAAGTGGTTCAAGTTTAACGACACAGTGGTGGAGGAGTTTGATATGAATGATGTCACAGTCGAGGAGGAATGTTTTGGTGGGACCTACAAGGCTAAAGTTTATGATTCTTGTAAGCTCGTATCTAACATTTCCTTTGTATTTTGTTCACTTGTTATATCATCATTTTTCAAAGTTGTCAAATCAGTTCCTGAGTGGCATTTATTGTTTTCTGTATGCAGCCAACACCTACCCTGAAGAACGGCTGCGCTACTGGAATGGATATTTGTTGTTTTATGAAAGAATAGAGGACATGAGATCACCAGTCACAGCCAAGAGGAGTAAAATCATATCTAGGCGTGTTCTTCCTGAAGGGGGGTGAGTGCTTTTTTTTTTTATCAGGCTAATGAATTCAGCAATGGTAAGAACAGTCAGGGAGTGCTGAATGTAGAAATTAGTATCCTATCAGTTGATGTGTGAGGACTCTTATTGAATGCTAGCCTGTGGGACCATGTTTTTCTACTCAGTGGGTGAATGGTAATTATTTTAATGGACAGACTTGACTTACCTTTGGTTACATGACCCATCAACTTGGCATTCTTATGAAACTTTGCTGTGATTCCTAGTGTGTTCGTGTTAGCTCGGATAAATGAATTGTATTTTTAATAATATTCATGTTAAAATTTGGTAGTGAAATAACTGTAAAATATTTAATTCTAAAATAAATTGTTTTTTTAATAAATACAAAATATTATTTCAAATATTTTTTGAAAAATATCTCAAAAAGGTTTTTCTTATATCTAGAACTCTCAAAAAAAGTACTTCTATCCAGAACTCTATAAAAAGTATTTTCCTTCTATTAAGAGTTCTAAAAAAAGTATTTTCTTTCTATCAAGAGCTTTATAAAAAGTATTTTCCTTCTATCAAGAGCTATATAAAAAGTATTTTCCTTCTATCAAGAGCTCTATAAAAAGTATTTTCCTTCTATCAAGAGCTATAAAAAGTATTTTCCTTCTATCCAGCAAACGCAGCCTGAACAGTGACAGCCTGATGGAGCTGACAGAGCTAGTACACAAAGGAGAAAGGAAGGGGATATTCATGGACCGTATGCCTGCTGGCATCCAGCAAGTCATCCATGCTGAGAACATCACCTTTGTGAAGAACAGGGACATCTACAACCCAGAGTACTTCACATTTGTTCGGCAACTTGTTAGTGTTAATAAGGTACAGTAGCCAGAGACAATCACACTCATTGTATTCTTCTAGCATAATAAGGTGTTGATTTCCAATTCACAGCACCAAGTTTTGTTTTGGTTTGACTACTTTCTAGGGGTCGGCGTGGTCGAGTCGTTAGAGCACATGGGTGCTAAACCGAAAAGTCTCGAGTTCGAACCCTCTGGCAGATGAGGCTCGTTAGCTGGGGACAGCCACTCTTCTAGGAGAGACAACTCCAAAATCAAACAACTGCTGCCTTGTAGTTTGTTCTTGGTTGGACAAAGGCTATAGAAGCAAATCCAAAAAGAAAAGCAGGCTGAAATCGGAGTCAATGGCCTCAATGGCGCATAACCAGTTGACACGTATCCTTAATTGTAATGGAAGCATGGTTGAGTCGGCAAAGCTCATGGTTGATAAATTCGAAAAAAGTCTCGAGTTCAAACCCTCTGGCAGATAAGGCTTGATCCCTCCCAACACTAAAAATTAAGAATGAAGAAGAAGAAGACTACTTTCTGACTACATTAATTGATGTTTGTTTTTTTAACTTTCAGTTTTATAATTTCAATTCTTACTTGTTTATTTTCTAAATTTTTTTTGATAAATTTCTGACCATAGTGACTGATGTTTGTTTACTCTCTGACTATATTTACTGATGTTTGTTAACTTTCTGACCATAGTGATTGATGTTTGTTAACTTTCTGACTATATTTACTGATGTTTGTTAACTTTCTGATTATATTGACTGATGTTTGTTTACTTTCTGATTATATTTACTGATTGTTTATTTTCCTTCTCAGAATTATGCTGATCACCCAGACTATGCAAACATGTGTATTCAAAGTATGCAGTTAGGAATTAGGTTTTTAGTCAATACTTATCTACGTACCAGGTTAAAAACACAGTACGTAGAAATTACATATTTTACTCATTTTTAAAATTTAACTGTAAATATTGAGTTGTAATTCTAAACCATTTTTGCCTTATGTTCTAACTAATATTTGTAACAATGTATAGGTTTAAAAAAGTAATAGGTCTAAAATACATTGTATAGTTATGGTATTGGTTTGAAAAGATTCATTTCTATTATGTCATCAGAGATAAAGTCTATATCTGACAATATCCCTACGTAAAATGATATAGGTTTAATCAAGGTGAAGGCAGTAAATAAATATGATTGTAACTTCTGTAGTAAAACCACAGGCTACAATGCTGTCACTAAAATTACCTTTGTTTTTGTCACCTAAGATGTGAGCTGGACGAGTGGGTTTCTCTGTTGGACCAGCTGATGTCAGCATGCAAGGATGCCTGTTTGTGGTTCATTGACTACCTGGCCAGTGGGGAAGGAAGTGACATCATCAAGTGTGTACTGTATATGCAACCTCTGTGCTTGGTTTCTGTCCTATCCTACTTGATACATTAGACTGGTTTTTCTGTTTGCTTGTACATTAGTTTGATTCAGATGGTTGAGTAGAAATTTAAGATAGAACTTGTATTAGTCTAGCTTGTCTTGTTTAAGTCACTTCGTTATATCTCAGTCATACAAAATTATTTATTCTGTAAATAATTACAATGGCACTCGTCTAAAAAATTACCCCAATCAGTGTTTTTACTTGATTGTTTTTCAAGTTTAGAATTAAAATAAGAAAAAAATGAAGCAACACATGTATTTTTGTTCTCCCCCCAGGCCATTCATTTTAGAAAGTCCCAGCAAGGAAGTCCGAGTGATGTTCAGCAAACTTTTGGAGAAAACTTTTTTCAGTTTTTTCCACCATGGAGGTGTTCCTGTAAGCAACATTTTAGTTATTTATCTTTTACTACATCTGTTTTTATCTAATGCCTATCTTGTCTGTGCAACACACTTTGAAATGCCTTATGAACCACTAACTACATTTGTTTTTATCAAATGTTGGGCTGTGCTATACTCTTTGAAATATCTAATTGACCACTAGGACCACTATATCTTAAACAGAAAATTGTAAATAGTTTTTTTTTGTCTTGTAAATTAAGAATTGAACTTTTATTTTTAGACTCACCATAACTTGAATACAATGCTAGAAAACCTGTAAACATTCTATTTTTAGACCCACCACAACCTGAATACAATGCTAGAAAACCTGTAAACATTCTATTTTTAGACTCACCACAACCTGAACACAATGCTAGAAAACCTGCTGGTCCTCTTAGACAAGGATGCTGTGGATCTGGTTAAAAATAGCACTCAGTATTTTCAGGTCATTAGAGCCTATATACAGATGGTAGGTGCTACAAAAGTTGTCACTTTTTCACCTAATATCTTGAAGCTATGACAACATTCACAGTTAATGATTTTATGACTGTTCCTACTTGACTCAGTACAAAGCTTTGATAATATTTACAGTTAATGATTTTATGACTGTTCCTACTTGACCGAGTACAAAGCTTTGATAATATTCAAAGTTAATGATTTTATGACTTCCTACTGGACCCAGTACAAAGCTTTGATAATATTCAAAGTTAATGATTTTATGACTGTTTCTACTTGACCTAGTACCAAGCTTTGATAATATTCACAGTTAATGATTTTATGACTGTTCCTACTGGACCCAGTACAAAGCTTTGATAATATTATAGTTAATGATTTTATGACTGTTCCTACTGGACCCAGTACAAAGCTTTGATAATATTTACAGTTAATAATTTTATGACTGTTTCTACTTGACCTAGTACCAAGCTATTGATATTTTGTTTATTGTTTATACTAGGGTACCAAAGCTTGTGCCCACATGTTTGGTAGAAATGGGTTCCAGCGCTTGCTCATTTTTTTACTGGGCAGTGGCAATGGGGTAAGTGCATTACTCGTCTATATCGTAGATGTAAGGATCATGAAAAGTCAAGTTTTTTGGTTATCTAGCAAGGAATTTTTTTTCTTTTTATACATAGCAAATAAAACTAAGAATTATATGCATATGAAAAAAATTAAAGCAATATCTTATTAGTTCTTATAAAGAAATAAAACCAACCAATTTTTTTTGTAAAAATAAAAAGTCCTTTTTAAATCTCCTTCAGGATTCTGGGCGAAGATGGAGCTCTATACAAGCCAGAGATTTCTCACACTTGCATGCAGCATTAGCACTGCTCATTCTCAACTGTGATGTTAAGGTCTACCAAACACATGGTAAATATCTATTAGCTTGTGGTATTACAGATTACTTTGTGCTGGTACCTCCAATAGTGGTTACCAGTTACAGTGATGGTATTTTTACTTGTCTTGCCACTTCCATTAGGATTACCAAACACATATGAAACATAAATTGTGTTAATTATATATTATGTATAGTTAAAAATATTGCTGGTGTATGTAGTTGTTGTATTTGTCTTTGCTTGTAGAAGTGGGGGAGCACAAGGAGAGAAAACCCAGCACTGTACAGCCCCACATTTTCCTCAAGATGTCCACTGACATGAGCTCTTTTGTCTTTGGTGAGGAGTCCCACAGATACATCAAGGAGGTAGGCTCTTGCTGTCTCAGGACGCTTTAGTCATGTTGTGTGAGGAGACTTTCAACGTTGCCATAAATCTTGTTTTCTTTAAATAACCTTTGTTAGTATAAAAGATATATCTTTTTGATACATTTGAAATGTGAAAAACCATTTTTAAAAAATGTTTTTGTTAATTCCCTTAGGTGGTGTCAGCAGTCAGGGAACTGGCCAATCCCTCGCCATCTTTGTTTGATATGCTGCTCTACTGCAGCTTCTGTAACATCAACTTCTCACTGATTTTGTTGAAAAATTTAATGGTAGGTGTAACATCCACTTCTCACTGATTTTGTTTGAAAAATTTAATGGTAGGTGTAACATCAACTTCTCACTGATTTTGTTTGAAAAATTTAATGGTAGGTGTAACATCAACTTCTCACTGATTTTGTTGAAAAATTTAATGGTAGGTGTAACATCCACTTCTCACTGATTTTGTTGAAAAATTTAATGGTAGGTGTAACATCCACTTCTCACTGATTTTGTTGAAAAATTTAATGGTAGGTGTAACATCCACTTCTCACTGATTTTGTTTGAAAAATTTAATGGTAGGTGTAACATCAACTTCTCACTGATTTTGTTGAAATATTTAATGGTAGGTGTAACATCCACTTCTGTCTGATTTTGTTGAAAAATTTAATGGTAGGTGTAACATCAACTTCTCACTGATTTTGTTGAAAAATTTAATGGTAGGTGTAACATCCACTTCTCACTGATTTTGTTGAAAAATTTAATGGTAGGTGTAACATCCACTTCTCACTGATTTTGTTGAAAAATTAAATGGTAGGTGTAACATCAACATCTCACTGATTATGTTGAAAAATTTAATAAGCTAATCTTGGTTCTAAAAAGATCACTCTTGTAATTATAATTTATTGTGCTCAGCGGTATACTCTAATAAAAGATAGGATTTTACCTGTTCTGCTTGTTTAAACAAAAAAAAGGATGGGGGGTAATTTCCTAATAAAATTTGTATTTCATCTTTTAGCTTAAGACTTAAGAAAACTGTAATAAGAGGAGTATTGATGCTGTTTCTGTAGAGATTATTTCCTGACCTAGAACAATTGTTTACCTGCTAAGGTGTTTTAGGTTATTTTTTACCTGCTAAAAAAAAGTATTTTCTAGTAATTTTTTTACCTGTTTCTGTACTGTACAATCATCCATGTACTATATTTTTTCTATTCCAGCTGCAGTATTCCAGTGTGGCCTCCAATGAGCTCAAGTCAATATTTGCTCTCCTCACAGAGTTACTGGTCAGTTGGTCAATTGTTGGTCACATACCTTTAGTCATTGTAAACATATACCTGGCCTCTACGATGGATTGAACTAGATATTTTTCAACCACTCTTAAAGCAATTTAACAATGGTGAAAGTTGTGGAGGAAGTAGACCAAATGTTTGACTGTTTACTCTATCCAAAATGTGATTCTGAGAAATTAAAAATTTCTTATTTTTGCATCTTTATTCCAAGTATATTAAAATGCTAGAGAATTTAAATACCTAAAAACTTCCATCCCTACTATGTAAACAAAAAACAAAAAAATAGAGATTATTAATATACTAAAATTGAAATATTAGATCCCCTTTTCTTGTGTTAGCTGTAGCTCAGAATAGTGCAAGGTGCAAAATTACTTATTTTGTTGAGTAGGAAAACACGTGATCCCAATATAATGTACAATTTACATGTGAAAGATGTATTAATTAACATTGATTGTGATAGATTTTTTATTGATATATATCAATCACACTAGGATTGTTGTTTATTATTTCAATTAGCCCCCATTTTTTTTTCTCTTTCTTGATCCCCTTGTTGAAATTCTTTTTGTTATTCAACAGGCACTTGAAGACTGTCTTCAGCCAACAAGGCTTCAGTATGTCCTTGATGGCATGGATGAAAATGGGAAGAAATATGAAGGACTCACAAGTATGTTCAAATATTTTTTTGTTTTGTTTCATTGGAAGAGAGATGATTATGATTTTTATTGCTCTTTTTGTTGACTCTATCCATAAGGATAAATAAAACCGATGAATAGACCAAGTGTTAGATGAACCAATTAATAGACAACATATCAACAGCCACATTAATTAATCCTGAGTATTGCTTAAATGTGTGTAAAAATTGATCTTGATAAAATTTTCTAACAATTTTCTTGAACCCCCCCCCCCCCCTCCACCCCAAATTCCCTTGACCCCATGACCTTACAACACAGCTGTGATCAGGTTGAACCACGTGTCAGACAGCCGCAGGTCTTACCAGTGCATCAAGTTCCTTGTGGGCCTGATGAACAGGTCAGCCCTGGCTAAGGACCAGCTGCTCAAGACACCCTCCAAGTGGCAGTGGGCAGTGAACTGGCTCAGGAAGAAGGTGAGAGTTATCTGTCTTGCTCTGTCTATTGAAACAAAAAGTGATTGGATGGTGAAATTTGTGTGAACAAAGTTTTTTCTGATATCATGGGTCATGTGTATTTTTATGTTGGTGTTTCAGATGAACGATCATGGGTGGAGCTCTACTTCCTCTGCTAATCTGTCTAATGAGGATTCAAACCGCAAATCTTTCCAGAGGACGCAGAGTGCTCAGGTAATTTTCTTCTGGTGTCTTACCTTGACTGTGTCACCACTGGATGTCTTTTCTGAACTGTGTCACCACTAGGCATTTTTTAAAGCTGACATTAATAATAAGAATTTGATTGACCATAACATACTTTCGGTTGTCTGTTCTAGTATGTGACATTCATTAATGATAAGATTGATCATAAAATATGTTCTGTTGTCTTTTCTTGTCAGGGACATTAATGATAAGACTTTGATAATAAAATACTTTCTGTTGTCTGTTCTATTGCGTGACATTAATAATGAGACTTTGATTGACCATAAAATGATGACTTTGATAATAAAATACTTTCTGTTGTCTGTTCTATTGCGTGACATTAATAATGAGACTTTGATTGACCATAAAATGATGACTTTGATAATAAAATACTTTCTGTTGTCTGTTCTATTGCGTGACATTAATAATGAGACTTTGATTGACCATAAAATGATGACTTTGATAATAAAATACTTTCTGTTGTCTGTTCCAGTCCACTCTGCAAGAGGCCACAGCCCTCCTGACAGAGATGGAGAACCATGAATACAACAATAACAACGTCTCTTCAGCCTCTAGCGACACTGACGTCGAGGTTAACGTCACTGGAGGTGACGTCAGTGTCACGGCTGTCATCAGTGGTGTGCCAGACAGCAGGGCTGGCGAGTCGACACTGACGAGACAGACGGGGGAACAAACATCTAGCAGCGGAGAGACCAGCACCCAGAGGACTGAGGAACAGCACATTGACATTGATTAGCTGCAGGACTGTGCTGGCTCTTCCATCTAGTGCTACCTCCATCTGCTGGGTGCTTATGCAATATTCAGACCCATTTTATAAGCTGAAAACATTTCTGTGTTTGTGTATACCTGATAAAAAGCCAATTTAAATTTGATTACTTCCTGAGCTTGCAAAAGTAATTTTTTGCAAAATGTGAAAAAAATGAAAGAAAACTACAGATGCAAATGAATTTTATAAACGAATGAAAAAGAAGAAATGGAAAAAAAATTAAGTCTGTGATGTTCACTCATTAGAGTGGTAGTACAGAGCTGTCAGGCTTGGTCATATGTCTGGCTTGGCCAGATGTCAGCCATTATCAGATGTCAGGCTATGCCAGATGTCAGGCTTGGTCATATGTCAGGCTTGGCCAAATGTCAGGCTTGGGCTGATGTCAGACAGCCAGATGTCAGGCTTAGCCAGATGTCAAGCTTGGGCTGATGTCAGCCATTCTCAGATGTCAGGCTATGCCAGATAACAGGCTTGGCCAGATGTCAGGCTTGGTCATGTCAGGCTTGGCCAGATGTCAGGCTTGGCCAGATGTCAGGCTTGGCCAAATGTCAGGATTGACTAGCTATTTCTACTTCAAGCAAGGTGAAATAGCTGGACTTCTATTTGTGAAGCTTGAAACGACAAGAAAATATTTTTTCAAATGTAATCATTTTTTTTTTAGAACTGAGAAATAACTTGCCTTCATGGACATACTTCTCACAATTATTTTCACCTAATTTTATGCAAGATTTTGTATTGATCATTTGATGTACATACAATGTTGTCTTGCAGAACTGGATGAATATTTTTTTAAACTCTAAATGTTGGTTTTGTTTAAACCTAAATAATTTTGTTTTCATTGCAATAAGCCTTAAGCTGTTTTTTTTTTAATTACTTGATTTTTATGTATTTAAAACCTGGCAATATGTGAGAGTTCTTGTTATTGTTTTGTTCTTTGTACAATATCATTGCCAGATTTTTAGAAAAATTCATTTAAAACTGCTGTTTAGTGGGTTATTTTTTGTTTGTTTTGTACATGAATGGAATTCAAACATAAGATTGATATTTGAAGCAAGTGATTAATAAATTTTTAGCTTGAAATAATACTTGGGAAAGATAATCTTTGATTTAATATCAGATTGAATTTTTACATACTTCTCTGTTATGTAAATATGTGTGAGTACCTAGCGAGGATAAACCAATATTTTTAAAGAATAGTTACCACGGCAACTAAGTCCAGCTGTCTGTACTGTCTGATGATGTTGCAAGCAAAGGAAAAATGTCTAGTAATAGTGGGCCCTTGGCCTTTTTTTTTGTATTGACTTTCTAGGAACAAATTTAAAATTGTTATTGGCCTAAACTTTTGTTTTAGACTACAAGTAAGTGCTAGTCTACTGGTTGGCAGTCAGTGTGCCCCCCCCCCCCCCCCCCCCACAATGCAGCTTTCTTTTAAATGCAGCACACATCAGGTAAAAGTCTATTCAACTGTACATACATAACGTTTTCTTGTATTTTCTACAATTTATAAAGTATTGGAATTAAAATATGCTTCACTGTGTTTTTTTTTTTAGTATTGTTTTAGCAGAAATAATTTAAACTGCTCTTTACTTGAAAACTGGTGGCCAATGGATGATCTAGTATTAAAGTCATCTAAAAATTGTATTAAGTTTAAATAACCTAACTATAATAACACACAGTACTCTTCATAGCAGTTTATTAGTTGTCTTCAATAGATAGCTTGAGCTGTTTCAAAGGTCTTCAATGGGAGTCTTGATTGTTACTCTCCAGGACATTTTAGATGTGCTCCAAAATGTTAACATTTTAGTTGTGCTCCAAAAGTTAACATTTTAGATGTGCTCCAAAATGTTAACATTTTAGATGTGCCTCCTGAGATTAACTTTCAAGACATTTCAATTGGCTAACTTTCTATATGTCTCCAAAAGTTATTAGATGTGCCTCAGAACTCACAAGTTAGCATTTTAGATACTCTTTTAGTTTAACTTCAAAAATATTAACAACTTTCTACTTTGTCCTCAAACTTACTTCTAAGCTTAGCAATCTGTACACAACTGTATCTGAAATTTTCTTCTAAATTGTAAATATATCCTTGGAAATTGTTTTAATGTTTTAGTTGCTTACATATATTAAAATGCCTTTGAATGCAAATTTAAAAAAGATAATTTCCTAGGTTAAGAAGAGGGGTGGAGATATTTTGAATTACTTAATTGTAAAAATATATAGGATTTTTTTTTTTTGCTGTATATATTTTTGATCATGCTTCATTGCTTCAAATAAAATTCATCTCTAGAGTGAGTATGTACAAAAGACAATTTTTTTAAAAAAAGCTGATTTGTATTGTATTACATTTGAGTTGTATTTGTAAAACAATGCTGTGATGCTGAAACCACTAGCATAATATCCTCTAGTGTCCAGAGTTCATTGTACAAACTGCAGATTGATTTTAACAGAAGCATACTTCAGTCTTGAAATAAACATTTTTTAAATTATAAAAATGGTTTCTTCTGATAAAAAAAATAATTAACTTCTTGTCCTTTCTTTTTCATCATGTATTTTATAGTTGGCTGAGACTTGGAAAAAAAATAGTTGCCAACCCGATTTAGTCCTTGGGTGTTTTATTTTATATTGGATTCCTCTTGTTCTGGTATACTCTGGTTTAAGTGTGTGATACACATTTGAAGTATCAAATTCATAGTATGGTCAACATTATGCTAATGCCAAGCCGACTTGACTTTTGCAAAAGTAAGTTAGGTACCTGTCAGAGCGGAGACATTCTACTGACTTGAATCCTGATTCGAACTCAAGACTTTTGGGTTAGCAGTCACATATCTTTGAGGACTGACTAAAAAAAAAATGTACAGATGAATTTTACTGTATGATCTTGGAGTAGCAAGAAATAAACTAGCATCTTCATGTATATCAATTTTAAAGAATCTGATTTAAAATATATTAAAATCATTCACTTAACCGAATAAAATACAAGAACTGCTCAAGTAATCTGTCACTAGAGGTAGATCTGGCAATGCTCTTACTAAAAACAGCTCACTTAAATTTATCCAGTAATAAAGGATATCTTTAAATCTATCAGTTTTCCAGCCACACAAACACGATTGAAGTTTACTCGGCAATTTGCTACATTGCAATCTCACATGCATCACTTGTTGCATGATTATAAAATGGTTTTTTCAAAGATTGAAGGAAGCCACATAACTGAGTGTCCAGTTTGAGCAATGTTCAGTTTAAATTCACAACACCAAAGCCTTACAATGGCTTTTTGCGGAAAAGGTAAATTTTACTTCAAGAAAGAACAAACTGGTTTTTACACTTGCGTGAAATCATTAGTGAATCCGTTCTGCTAAATGAGGAACTTTTTGACACCCAGCCTTCCAGTGAGTTCTTTAGGGGTGCACCATATCCTACAGAATTAATGTTAGATCCAGCAGTTCCCATAAGTATTGATACAACTTAATAATAATAGGCACAACATATCCTAATTATTGAACCTCCATATTATTCCTGGCCTGTAACACAGTACTGTGGTATTTTAGCCAAGCACATAGGGCCTAGCTTGTACAAATTTAGGTGGAATTTTATTGGGTGTCAAAAAATAGAGTGTTCATAATTAGAACATAACTTTGTAGCTTAACTCTTTTTGTATTGATATATATATATTTTTTTTCATTATGATTTAATACAGCTTAGCACATAGGGAATTTCAGCTGCTTGTTTCACACCTCAAATCTCTGAATGTAAAAAAGTCATTTTAGGCCAGAAGCTACAACACCAAAACAAACACACAAAAGTGGAGAAAATCTAGACAACAAATGATGACTTGTTTTATTTAATCAAATGACATCAAATGACATCAGATGACATTAGATCTAACCAAACACAATTCCAAATTTAAAGCTAAAACATTTGTGAAAGTGAAGAGAAAATGTGCCCATAAATTACCAGACAATTTTAGAATTTAAGTCCATTTGTCCTTTTATTTTTCTTTAAAAAGGGGAGGGAACTACATCAGATAAATGTGCCAATACAAAGATCAAACAGTTTTACATAACAGAAATTACTGTAGTCAGTAGAAGTGTGTATGAACATACACACATTTATATACATACATGTATGTAAACAGAAAATTGTTTAATATGCAAAACTGTTCATTTAGTTGTTTTTATGTATTTCTAAACTAAACAAATAGGGAACATGGTAACTGTACATGTGCCTCCAAATCATGCTGGTGTGGGACTGGATAATAAGCCAACCCATGTTCCCATGTTAGTTGTTCCAAACTTGCATCAGATATTCTAACTAAAACAGTAAAATAATGTTGCAGTTGCATGCTATTGTTTAGTAGTCACAAAACACTTGGGTTCCAAAAGCTAAAACAAGAGAAATGTTACACGTCTCACAGGCACCCACATTAGAACAATGCTGCATCAGTACTGTTTTCATCCGAGACTTGTTTAGTTCTGGGTAGACACACTAGTTTTAAAAGCAGGTAAAAAAAAAATTTGGGCAATCAAAAAAATTCCATGCAGCCAAAAAATCCTGCTATTATATTGGATGCATATGATAAATAACCTCTTGTTACATTCATACAGCGAGGTGAAACCATGGAGAAAAAAAAAGTTTTGAAAAAATATTTAGATCAAATACATGAGAATAGAAAAAAAAAAGGATGACTGAATATGAACACTGACTAAACAATTAGTGGTGCAAGTTTAGCAAATAGAATCACATGATAATAGCAGGAAAAGTGAAATACAGTCAGACATATCTAAAGAGTTGCTTCACTGATAGATGCTTTAAAAAATGGTTGGCCATTTTTCTTATATATATTACACATACCTCTTTTGTTTATTAGAAATCTGTACAGACGTAAACCTATAAAATATTTCATAGGTTGTTTTTTTGTTGTTGAATACATGCACACAGAATCATTCAACTGACAAACAGGACATCCCACATGAGCACAGTTCTAATGTAAACCATAACCACTCAACATTATGGTATACACTAGAACACATCCACTCTATCACTATTTAAATCTTGACCAGAAAATAGTGGACAGCAGGTATTCATTTCATGTAGAGCATCCCTGATAACTAGGAACACATTTTTAAAAATCTCAATCAAGAAAAATAATTTTCTTTTAAATTTCGACCAATTTGAGCAGGTAGCAAATAAATAAAAAAACGCATAACAAACTTTAAAAAAAAAAGACTGGTTTAACAGAATTGAAAATACTGCACTGATCAAATTATACTATACCCTACTTTCACCCTCAACAAGCATAGGCAATGATGAGGGAAACTGAAAAAACAAAAACTATCAAAGGAAACAAAACAAAGTTGCTTGTCACAGACTGGTTCATGTGTTAGACAAGTCAATGACTGAACAAGTGAAATTGTCGTGGTGTCAGTCACCTCTAGCCCTAAACCAATTTGTCCATCTGTTGTATTGTTATGTCTGTTAAGTCTACCTGGTAAAGCACAGCCATGCAACAACGTCTAGCTGACCAAACAAGCGCCATTAGAGCTCTAGATACAGCACATTTATTCAGTGTTTTGCACTTTCAATCAACCACAGTTATTTCCACTTAGAAGGCAGTGGGTAGAAATATAAATCCATTAGAACTGAAAACTCCACAGCTAGTTTTGTGTACCAGCCACTGGGAAGAGTGCTTTAAAAAGCCCAGCCTGTCTATCCAGTCTACTCTCCCTCTAGCTAGAGCTGGGCTTGGAACTGGCTCCACACACAAAGAAGACAACCGCCACACAGAAAACACATTCCAACTAGTGATGAACAAAGAAAATATTTCCAGCCCTGAAACAGGTGTATACCACCAGGCTGCCATTATTGTACAGTCCAGAGATTTCTAATGGGAACTGTGGTGGTCATGTAATCCTGCTCAGCCACAACAAAAATAACACATCAAAAATCAGCAAATTCCTTGGCACATTTTTCAGTAGAAGAGATACGTAGTGGCTCTTCTTCATAATCATCAAAATTTGCAGTATCACCAGCGCCTTTCGTCTTTGGCACAAATGGTGCTTCAACCTGTAGGTTCACAACAGTGAAATCATATTAATATCATTGTAAATCATATTAATATCATTGTTTACACACACAAGTTTATGATATTTTTTTACATTATGATTCGTGGAAAAAATTTTTTTTAGTACCTTAGTAGACCTACATAGCAGGTGAGTATTTAAAAAATTATTGAGTTCACATTTCTCAGGTAAATAACAGTTAAATGATTACAATAAAAAAAATACTGTTGTGCATTTTTCTGGTAAACATCAATTCAGTAAATCTAGAAACAGAAGTGCAGTGTTCACCTTTCTCTGGTATATAGCAATCCAATCTGTTGTAGAGAACCATTTGTGACTCTTGATATCATTAACACCATTCTTGAGGTTACCAAAACGCTTGGTTAAATCCACTTGCAGTAAGTTGCGTAGTAAGTCTTTAAGGTCTCCACTAAAGTGAGAAGGAAAACGAACCTGCAGACAAAGATCATTAGGTTAATTACAGTCAATTCACTTTTCTACAAAACACATCTACCATTTTGACATCAATGTCAACAGTAAGCATAATGTCATAGGCCATAAGGGGTCATCCATTTATGACATCCACAAACCTTTTTGGTTTTTGGACACCCCCCCCCCGTCCTCAAAAATCCACCTTTATCCCTTATAAAAGTCCATACGCGTCCGCAAAAGTCAATTTTTTTCGGACACCCCCCCCCCCCACCGTGTGGACGTCATAAATGGATGACCCCAAAGCCTGAAGAATTAGTGATATTGCTATAAAGTATGTGCACAATTTCTATTGTCCTATTTATCATCATATTCTGATAAAAAAAAAAATTTAATGCCCTACATTATTATCACTCCTACTTTCTAGTTGTGTGTAACCCACCTTTCCTGATACAATTTTCTCATAAATTTGAATTGGCTGATCAGCAAAAAATGGAGGATAGCCAGCAGCCATTTCATAAATAAGAACACCTAAAGCCCACCAGTCAACAGCTTTGTTGTAGCCCTGAAAAAGATGAAATACTTTTTATATTTACAGATATAAACAGAACAACTTTTGTTTTACGTTGCAAAAGATTTGATTTGACCAATAGTTAAAAATTTTAAAGCAGTAATAATATACAAGCTAAACAAATTTTAAATTAAAAAAATTAACAGGGTATCTTAGCTAGTTAGAATATTTACCTTGCTAAGAATAATTTCTGGGGCTAGATACTCCGGGGTGCCGCATAGTGTCCATGTTCGTCCCTTAACGCGCTTGGCAAAGCCGAAATCTGTCACCTGTTTACCAGAGATAATTTAGTGTGCATATACTAGATTTTGTTTACATCACGTGGGCTTTAACTTCTTATTACCAAGTCACACTCACCATATGGATACATACAAATATAGTAGACATGTTTGCCTAAAGCTAAATGCTATAATACATTTAAAACTCCTGATGGTATTTTTACATCATACTTTTCACTATAAACTAGGAAAGTGCACTTGAACATTATATTTTACCAATTCATTATCAACAAATGGTAACATTTTTTCTAGAATTTAAGTTATGTGCATCTACAGTGACAGTAGATCTGCATGATGGTGCACATTAAAGCTTTCTATTGTTTGTCCTGACTCTACAAACCTCTGTATTGAATAGCAATCAGCTAAAAAAGTACCATTGTGCTCTAAACATATTTACATATAAATAATTGTTGTAATTTCTTTATTGTTCTTTCCTCATTAAAAAAATGATTTTATAGGACTGTATTGCAACTTAATATAAATTTTTAAATTAAACCATCAAAGTAAACTCCAGGAACGGTTCAGCTCTTCTAACCAATTTGTAAGATTAAATAGTAAACTGTATGGAATCATTTAATTAGCTTAAATACGTAATTTTTAAAATAATTGTAACTAAAAGTTAAAAGTCAAGGTTCTCACAACTGAAATAAAGGCTTAAGTAAGTAATCTCTTGACCTGCTGTTAACAGTGCAGTGAACTCAATGAATGTGGATTAACTACAGCACACTTCTCTACATCATGCACATTATTATTTGTTTAATAAACAAACTCAATGACATCATAAATATCTTTTTTTTTAAAGTAAAAATTATTTTATCTTTAGAATTCCAAGGACGAAATATGATAAATATCAGTGTTACCATGAAACATTTTGCGCCCAGCTTTACATTTTAAAAATACTTACTTAGGTTAAACTTGAATTCAAGTTGGGCAAAAAGATGAATTAAATAAAGGGTAGCCTCGCCATGTCAGAAATGTGTATTTATTAATTGATGTCCAGAGGTTAGTGCATTTAATCAATTTTTTGGTTTCTTTTTTAAAAAGACATTAACACTATTTAATAAAAAACAATCGACAGTGTTATAAATATTTACAGGTGGAAAAACTAGCCAAAACATCAATCAAACTTACTGTGAAAGTGCTTACCCTTTCTTTATCTAGTCAACTCAAAGAGTTAGTAGCCAAGCTTCACAAAACAGTCCAAATAAAAAGCAAACACCAAAAGGAAAAACAGCAAACATCAACAGAAAAAAAAAACAAGCCAAAAACAAAAATTGAAACAAAAACTCTACAATAAAAAATGTTAAAAGCAAGCACAAAATAAATCGGGGTGTTAGATGACAACAAATAGACTGACTCATCAGAAGAAAGAAAAACATATCAAGATGAACAGAGGGAGACAAAAAAAAAAGATCCACATCAATATTCTATTTGAAAAAAAAAAAAAAATCCAAGTGAATTTAGTTGGTTATTTTAAAGAAAGAGATCAATTAGTAAAATCTTGTGAATGTTAATTAAAAAACATGACAAAAACAAGTTGGACAAACCGGACAAAGGTTGGGAAAAAGAAAAAGAGTAAAAAACCCTTTGACATTAGCCAGCAAAGAAAAGTGTTTAGTCACCAAAACGGGAGCAAAAAAGCCAAGTAGAAAATGGTTGAGAAAACTACATTAATTTCATTCAGTTTTTTTTTTAGTTGAAGTCAAAATAAAAAAATGAAAACCTATTATGCCTCAAATCTCAACTATCTGGCATTGGGTGAAGAAAAGTGTTTATAAGCATAGCACACAAGAACAATGGTTCTCAAAATCTAACAATCATTACATATTTTAAATTATTACCACAAAACATAACGGCATCTAATTAATTTTTCCCTAGATATGAAATTCAATTTATCAAAAAACTGGAGTAAAATATAATCACTGATTAAACTCCAGCACTTAAAAAGTTAACACAAATACAGATAAAATTAACTTATGCAAACAAATTAAAAAATCTGTGAGAACCATTGTCTGAGAGGAATAAATATAAATAAACCCTGCTGTGTTTAGTGGCTTAGTTTTATAAAGCTAGCATAAAGCCAGAAATGTAATTCTATGTTTCATGCGTTGTCAGCTAGCCAAGTTAAAAATAAATAAATAAATGATTCAACAAACAAAAGCACTTTAAATTTTGTGAAAAGAATACAATGCTAGAATTTCAGTTCTGGCTGGGTACAATTCTTGAGTCTATTCGAGCTATAGTTGTGTGTTGAGTTACCACTAGAGTCAACAGTGAATACATGATCATAATAAATAAGGTGTTTATTTAGGCATTCATATTTGTTGTAGAGGAAAAACTTAATTAAATTCTATTAAAAAAAAAAAAGAACAAGAAGAGACATGCAGAAATATTTTTTGATGAACAAGATAAATTTTTAGCTTTAATGAAAAGGTGTAATAGTTACACATGTATTGATAGATCTTGACATTTTCATTTCAAGGGTGTTACTAAAATGTAACATGAGTGCAAGAGTATATTGATATGTTCTAGCAATCACGTGCCAGCAATGGAATCGACACAGCAGAATTAGGAGCCTGATTGCTTTTAGCCAGCTCAATCATTAGGGCTCATTAAAATCGATAGCACTAGATAAATTTCTTGAAAACTGATTATATAAGACAACAATATTAATTTTAAAAATTCTGCTTTATGTCTATTCAGTAATTTTCTTTAACTTGTAAAGGCTAGCCAAGCAGTAAAATTACACACACTATAACTAATAAAACTTTAAAGCACCATCACCAAAAAAAAAAATCTACAAAAGCTGTGCCCACACCAATTACTGCTGAGCTAATCAAGTTCTTTTCTCTCCAATTCAGAGAATCAAATGGTGAAGATTCCAAATTGTGAGGGGAGGTAAGAATCAACCAGGTTCAGAAGTAATGGTGAATAGGATTATAATGCACAAGATATGAAAAAATAGGGAGCACTAAAAAAAACCCAGGCCATAGTGAGAGATTTGAGTAGCGCCCCGACCATAGTCATACCTTTAAGTAACCGTAGGTATCTATGAGTAAATTCTCAGGTTTTAAATCTCTGTACATAATATCCAAGTGATGCAAGTATTCCAGGACCAACACTATTTGTGCAGCATAAAATCGGGAATGCGGCTCGCTGTCAAAGAGAAGTGGAGACATACATGTATATATAGATAGATATATGACAAACAACCCGACCAACATGTGTCTGCTTCAAGAAACGTTGCTTTGTTCAGGGGGGTTAAATAAAAAGAACCAAAAGAAAACAAATCAACAACAACATCTGTCTGGAGCCTAAATGTTGATGGACTGGTTTCTGCGCTACTACTCATTTTTGGCCAAAGGTGGAATCGTGATTAAATATGGATTAGTTTGTTTCAAAAAGTTAATATTATTTACTAATTTAATTCTACAGAAAAGATATTAAGCTTTTCTAAAAAAAATGTACAAGAATGAAATTTTAAAAGCGTAAGTTAAAATTTAAAGATGTTTAAAGAGAAATGGGTTAAAAAACATAGTAAATACAATTAAAAATGTTAATATTATTTTATAGCTTAGAAAGCAGATTCTAACTTTTAGGCTATTGACATGATATTGAAGGAGAACTAAACGCAAACAAATATGTCAAACGAAAAAGAAAAGAAACTGGGCATGTCCAAACACTGCTCAACAACCGACGGGTGTAAAGGCTAGGCGAGACCTGGGTACATCGTGAGTTCACATAGACGCCGGCGAGTACGTTATGTGAGATACTGGAACACTTACTTTGCAGTACCCCTGAGGATCTATGAGCAAGTTTTCTGGTTTCAGATCCCGATAAACGAGATCCAGATAATGCAGGTATTCAAAGCTCAAAATTATTTGCGCTGCATAGAACCGGGAGTGACTTTCACTGTAACGAGGGAGGAAAAGTAAAAAGATGATAATGTGACTCACGCTGTATTAAAATAATTTCAAATGTTTATAACTGATAATAAACATTATGCAGCACACTGAAATATTGAGACAGTAATAAGTAAGACTTTAATATAAAGTGGGTGAGGGTATGGAAATTTAAAGTATGTTTAAAAAAAAAAAGAAAAAAAAAGCTGTCACATGCATGTTTTAAAATTAGGAAAATAACCCAGATAGTTAAAAAAAAAAAACTAAGAAGAAACTGATTCTATGATAATCAGTACTGATGCATTTTTCTAAAAAATACTTGATGGAAACATTTTGAAAGCAGTTTAGCATGAAATGTTCACATTTCCTTGACATGAGTAAAGCAGTACCTCATAGTGTATTTGATTTCTTAAATAAGCATTTGTAATAGCAATTTATAGTTTGGAAAAATAATATTCCAAGTATCTAAGTACCAGTATTTTATTTTATGCTTGAATAGGTAGCAAACTGGTCGAAATGCCACCTGCTTGCATTTTTAATGTAGTAAACAGTTTAAAAATATGTGATTCTTCTAGAACTAATTCGGGCAGGGGCGGATTTCATACCAGTTGACCTGAAATAGTAAGAGGTTAAGGTGCAAGAAATGTTTATATTTTTTGCCCCAGTGTCATGTATTGTTACCAAACAGATCAACAGGAGAGTGAATGTACCTTAATATTCATGGATCCTTTAAAAAGAGTATAAACTTTCAAGCAAGACATTTTGAGCAGGAAGAAAAGAAAAATCCATAATTCAAAATATTGTTTAAAAATTCAAGACAAACTTCACTCTTTAAGATCATATCCTTTTACTTTTGCTGAGTGAAAACTGCAGGACTATAATTAATTCTTTAAAGCCCAACAACTTTGCATCTAAGAGATCTTATCTAATGATAAGAAATAAAACCTAGTCAAAATAAGAAATGAGAGAAAGACTAGCTTTAAAAAAATGCAAACAAGTAGTTCTCCTCACCCCCCCTCCCCATTACCCCACAGGCTGGCAGTAACTAACTCTGCAGATCAATAGCTCATGGTGGTGAGAGAGTAGAAAGTGGAGAGCTTTGTACTGTTAGCATGGATGAGTTGCATGACTGTTTGTACATCTAACTGACCAACAAGCTTACCTGAAGCGGCCTATTCGTCGTAAATGTGAAAACATTTCACCCCCTGTAACAAACTCCAACACCATATACAAATTGGAATTGTCCTAGAATTATAGAAAAAAAAAAGTAATAATTTGTCTTAGAAATATGAAAGCAAAAGCAATGATCGATCTTCATATTCAACAGTTATTAAAAATGAAGGAATAGTTAATAATGTTGAAAAAATCTTTTTTATTTCATACAAATTTGTTTTATGCTTTTTATTTAACTAACACAATGTAAAACATGTACTCACTTTAAATGAATACTCTAGCCTGACCAGGAAAGGAAAATTAATTGACTGCAAAATTTTCTTCTCATTCAATGTATGCTCTACTTGTTTTAATTTTACTACCTATTTGTACCAAAAGAGGAAAAATAACATTATCAAGACAAAACACACAAGTTTTATAAAAGATATTACATTTCTATGGGTAAAATATACAAAATTTACATGTGGCTAGCAGAAATCCCATTAAATTCTAATCACTTATATATTGCAAATGGGTGAGCAAAAGAGATTTAGCTTTGGCTTGATGTTAATGATCAAACAATGCAATTAATTACCATTGTTCTTTGATCATTTCTTTCAGTTTATGTAATAGAAGCACATGAATTAATGAATATACCCAAAGACGACAAATGTTGAGAAAAGATGACCAACCTTTTGTTTGTCTAAGATTTTCATAGCAAAAAATGCTTTGTTCTCCCCTTTATGTTGGACTAGCATTACACGACCAAATGAGCCAGTTCCAAGAGTTTTGATTCTGTCAAAGTCATCTAAACATGACGTACTCTGTTGTTTACACAAAAACAAAACTTCATTAGCTACAACATTAATTACAAAACACCAAGTTCTAAGCCAAATTTATCAAAGTGTTGTTGTCTATATTCAGAATCAAGCAATGTCTAGAGTAAGTCTCTCTGTTCCAACCTACAGGCAACCATGAACAACTAAACTAATGTACTTTAACAGTGGTCAGCAAACCCAGTACACACATGTCCCTAAACTTAAGTCCATTGACTTAAGTTAACAGCAGTTTTCAAATTGAAAGCAACATTACAAGTAGTCAGTAGCTTTCCCCTCATGAGTTAAAAAAATAACCCCCTAACAAAATTTATTGTTATGCAGAACAATGTTTTCCTTCTAGAAAGTGACACTAACAAATGTGTGTCTGTAGCACAAGTTTGCTGACCCCTGACCTTGAAAACATCACAAGTTAGACTAGACTAGGCCTATAATAAGGTATTTTAACCAAATACAATTTTTATTTTATTAAAAAATAAAAAGGAACCTCATTCTTCATTTTAAAAGAAATGAAATATTAAAACACCAGGATTAACCTAACTTGTGTTGGTTGAATTAAATCTACAAAATAGAGAACTTTAAAAATTTATTTAAAAAAAAAATGAATTGAGGATTTTTTCCCCCTATAAAATATCTGCTTAGTAAACAAGCAGTTTAAAATGTTCACATTTGCCATATTTTCTGCCTCGTATCTTTAACAGTTGAACTAAAAACTGTTTCAATAATCATCAATTAATCAAATACTGTATAAATACTGTATAAAAACATTTTTTTTTAGCAACAAATAAAATAAGATAAAAAGCTCATTGATACATGTAAAACAAAAAACATGCAAAATCTGCAACAAGATATATTAAAAAGGAACAAAAGAATAAGATTTCTAAGTAATGAAGTAAATTTGTATCAAAAAGGTCTGCAAATGTGTACATAACACAGCTATAGAAGTTTTGGGATGGGCTGTTTGAGTCTTGTATAATAAGCTCATGCAACATTATCAAAAAATGTATGTTCAACAATGGGCTCCACAGAGTGTGGCAGATCAATAATTTATAAACAAGTTCCTTGAGGCTACGTGTAGCAGTCATGCTGAGCACTGAGTATAAAAAAAAAACATGGCTCATTTTGTTGATGCTAAGCTGACGAAGAGCTTTCAACATGATACCAAGTAAGTGATACAATTGTAGGGTTTATATGCACAGGGTTGGATATAAATGAAGTAATTGTAAAAAACTAAATGGAAAATAACTTTAAAAATTAATACAAACCAGAGGTGACACATTCTGAAAGAAAAAACCCACAGTAAGTCTAACATTGGCAACAGTGATGCTACTACTAGCAGCCTTTGCAGTAAAGCAATGAGGTGTGTATATTTATTAAAAAACCCTGTCATCTCCAAAAACATATCAGTGTATAGTATAGACATTGTTACAAAGTATAAATGTGTTTGTTGTATCTTCAGTGTATCCTTTGATTTTTAATAACTAGTCACAAAATGTGTACAGTTTTTGAAAATTGTATCGCAACTGATGAGTATTCATTTTACGTTTTGTGTTGGACTAATTATTGTGTTATGGGGTTTCTCTGATGATTTGGCAATTTAGATTGCCCTGTGGAAGTGCACAAAAGTCCCAATTATTTCAACTTGACCCCCCCCCCCCCCCCCCCTCCTGTTTCATTATTCCTACAACAGTTTAATTTGCTGGAAATTATTTAAAAAAAAAAACCCACAAAGAATGTTTCTATCAATTTATAGAAATGAGAAGTTATTCAACCTTTTTTCCCCCCCCCACTATTTATTGAACTAAGTGCTAAACATCTAAAGCGTGCTAACATATCTGTACAAGTAAAAATATCAACAACGACAAAGAACAACAGTAAGGGTTTTGTTGAACTAGGGTGATCAAATAAAACATAATCAGAACAAAGCTATCTAGTTACACATGAACTAACCAGAGCTGAGGAGGACAAGACTTTACCCAAGTTAAAACTTTAAAACAACAAAAATGTTCATGCCATCAAACGTTCTAGAACAACAACACAATCATGGACTCCTCAGCCCTAGGTTAACCAAAGTAGACACAATACTATCAAATGCAGTGACTGATAGTGCAATCTTGAGTATCTTTCCCTTTTTCCATCAATTATATAAAATAAAAACATCAAAAACATTTAAAAACATGCAAGCATTAAAATAACACATATACATTAAGTAAAATAAAAACAGCTTACTAAGGGTGGGTGGTCCCATTTTGTTTGAAATTCTTCTTTTGCTTTTGCAAGAAATTCCTTGACTGTAATAAAAAAAAAGGATGTTTAAGTTTAACAAAGTATAATTTTAAGGAGAATTTCACTTGGTGACTATCATAAGCTCGGAGTGAATATAACTTGGTATGGGTGACTGCTGAATAGGCTGGATGATTATCATATAGATGTGTTAAAATGTTTTATAATGTGAATAATAAGGTTAGCAATCTGCACATATCCTTTTTTGACAGACAGAACATTACAAATAAAATGATCATGAATAACAGATTTAATCATCATTGTTATTATTTAATGTTGTGATAACAAGTTTTGATAATAACCAATTGACATGAAGCTTTGATTTCATGCCTCCTCAAATTAAAAAATTCTAACAATAGTACTGACCAAATATTAAGGACAAAGTACATTATCATATTGAAGATGACATAATCATCACATTGACCAGATTTAACTAGGTACAAGTTGAATCTTATAAATGGTTGATGGATTAAATAAAGAATGTATGCAGTAATGCAAGGGGGTGTTATTTATCTACAGTGGCAGGAAAGAATTTTCTATTTTTAAAAACATCTTCCTTCACAAACAACTGAGTTAGTTGTAGCCTATAAGGCAAGCAGTGAAGACACTTCAGATATCTAGGTCACAAGGGTTTAAGAAAAATGTATGAGGTGTCCTCTTACAAAATGATATCTAGGCACAACTCAACAGTGTAGTCTAAAAATCCTAAAAGGAACTGTAGCATGGATCATTATCATGGACTTAAAAGAGTATGACACAGGAATTTCCAGCTAGTGTTATCTGTTGACATGACTGATACAACCAGCCCTGACAGTTTTTGCTATCTTGTTTTTTTAAAATTCATCTTATCATCTTATATCATAGTATTGTTTGAACAATTTCACATTTTAAACACTAGATGATTGTAAACACAAAATTAGGAGATAATGTGTTTTTCTCAGAGAACTGACAAACAAAAACCACGACAAGAGAGAAAAACTGAAATGAAAAGAATAAGAATACAATTTAAGATTTAGAAATGTACCTAGTGTAAAGAAAAATGATGAACACACTGCAGTAGTAAATTAAAAAACAAAATACCAAAAATATTCAATAAGAAAAACTGAACTATAAAGAACCCTACTGTAATAGTAACCATAAACTTGTCTATTAATTGTTATAGATATAAGATCACATGAAAAAGTATGAGGAGTACAATCTTTCTTGATAAGCCATTTTTATTAAGAGGTGAAGTGACACGTTTTGCATTTATTTATCACTCAAGTACCAAATCTGTCTGAGTAAATTTATCAAAACTTCCTGTGTATCCTGGATACAACAGAGCTAAAATAAAGGTGGACAACCAAACAATATACACAATAACAAAAAAAAAAGGAAAGACAAATAGATATAATAGGCCACTAACAATATTCACATGGCTACCCTACTAAACTACTTCCAAAACCTTTAAGCAGAGCAACAACCATCATTATAATTAATTAGCCTTTATTATACCAAGCTATTATGCTTAATTAATGAATAGCTTAATTTTGACATACTGCCTGCACAGTAATAATATAGGTCAATTTTTTTTGTTACTTGATGTATGTACACTAATATTAAACAGGTAAAAAGTAAATTGACTTAAACTCTAGGCCTATATCTTGCCGTTAAGCACCTATTTTATAGGTTCATCAAACAACCATTTCCCCCCAAAATAATTTAGAATACTTGGCCTACTTCTGGCAGTAGGAAATGAAGTTAACTTATTGAATTTCAAATAAGGCAGTAGATAGACTACCACGTGAGATTGTCTAAAATCTCAGTGAGAAACTTAATAAATGTTAGGCTACAAAAAGGATTAACTTAAATAAACACACCAATCTGTCATGGGCTGGATAAGGTTTACAAACCATTAGGTAACAAAATTTTAAATGTCAAGTTATATCCAAGCTCAATAAACACTAACTAGGGTCTATGGTATTAGGAACAATAAAGGCTTGATAGGTTATTGTTTTTAGATGTATAGCCTGCTTATTATTGGTGACTCTACCCCCCCCCCCCCTGTAGCCGTAGGAAGTCTATCTTACAGGAAGTCTATCTTACTATTGCGATTTGAATATCTACCCACTGGTAAACTAAATGTAGCATGTTACTATACCAGGGTGAAGTTAGATATAAACAGGCATAGTTATGGTTTATGTTATTGTACTAGAGTAGACTATGTAGGCTACTGTGTTTAATCCCCATCTCTTTAATCTTTATTGTTTTGAATTGTGGAAGGCTGCCCAAGACAAAACCAGGCTGCCCTATGCCCTATACATCTATATTATATACATTAATATAAGCAACACCAATTCTTCCCTTGGCCACCTAATCAAAGTTTCTTTCAGGCATCTCTTTGGGAAGGGGGTACTTTAATCAGTGTAGTTGTCCTCTCACCCATACAGAAAAATTTTTGAAAAAAAAAAAAGCACTACAGGTAGGCCTAATAAAAATTAGATCTAGGTCCTGTCATGTTAGCCAGTTATGCCTTATAAAATTCTCCTTTGGCCTAATATAGCCTAATTAATAGGCCTATATTATAATCACCAAGGACCAGAGAGTTAATTAGAAATAGAAAGAATATTTGGGACTTAGGCTAAAGATTACTAAAGAAATGTCAGAGTAAATATTAATAAGACTTAAGACACATAATAGGTCTAGTCTAGAATTTAGACTAGACATGTTATATGATCTGTCAGTGGTGTTTGATTAAACACATATTGTTCTAACCTTGTAATATAAGTTGTAGGCTGTTAGATTTAATAGTGGCCTACTGGTTGGACATAACCTTGTTAGTTACTACCTAACTAATACAACCTAAGTAAGATCTTGATATTATAATTATAAGACATGATGCTTCATCATAGTCTAGATATTAGATATAGATTTAGACGTCTAGATCTATATATAGATCTATATTCTAGTGAGTAGTATGCTACAGGACAGTGTGATGACCGAGTTCCGTGTGAGTCAATTTAAAAAAAAAAATCAAAATTAGTTATCACCGCTAACTGAACTCATACTCAACTAATAACTAAATGTAAATCTACTCATTAATAGGTCCCTTTATTAACCTACATTAATTAACATCTGCAAATTTTAATATCTAAAACGTGCGTATAGATCAATCTATAAATCATATATCGAGGATAGTGTCGAGTGCTGCAAGTTGAGGCGAGACAAAACTCTAGTGATGAAGTCGATGAGGTGGCCTATTTTTCCACCATCCATAGCAAACAGTGGTGTAACAGCCTTACCGTTTTCCGCCGGGTCCCCTTTTTTTGCCGTTGCCGCATTGCCCATATCCCGTTTTTACTTGCTAACGCACCTCCAAACTGATGGTTTTGGGTCGGGTGGTTAGGTATCCTTCAACGGAATATCACTAAATTATTACTGTTCCGAAATCCAGGTGAAAGAGTTCCCGTTCTTCTTTAGCCTATGGGACTATCGAACTAAACCAACACAAAGCTACACACTTTACGGCTAACTACAAGCTACGAATCTATAAGTTGGAAAAGCATAGTACACAAACGTTTAAACGAATGCCTTAGGCACAGGAAATATAACTATCAAATACGCTAACGTTCTTTGTTGTTAGTAATATTCACTAATGATGTATGAATATTATCAGTGTGTCACAATATAACTAAAATATAAAAATAGTTCATCCAGTCGCTAGCTTGAATTCTTTATCTGTGCGTACTCGCACAGCTACGATGTGTTCTCCGCGCACAGCATTGTGGGTAAGAGGCTCCGTGGTAAACATTGACCTCGACGCGGAGCGATAACTAGCAGAGGCGAACAGGCGAGGGACGGTGGAAAGCATTAATTTTATAAACACAGTATACAGAGAATTACTAAATAAAAAATAAAAAAACCATGAAAGAATATAAATAGCAAGAGTATTAGTAATAATTAATTTTATCGTTTTAGTATGCTTTTAATCGGAATAGATTTCTATGAGAATAATAATATGGTAATAAATTATGTGAATTGTCATTTTTTTCCCCCACCGCTACCGCTCTTGGTAGTGTACACATAATAACCTTCGGAGAAAAAAATAAGGGGGCGGGGGTATGAATGGTATTTAATAGTAAATAGAGCTTTACGTTTCCCCTGAGTCTCATTTTTATATTTGATTGAGTTTAAATAGCCAAATAAAGTTCAATGAAGATTCTCGCGGAATATAAAGGGGAAAAAATACGACAGGGGAGTAGTGCACGGGGAAAGGGGGTGGGTGGGTGTATTAATCTCGGTTCCAGATATCGGACAACTAAATACCGCAAATAAACTGCACGTGTTTAATACACGAATGCATCCAGATTTCTACAAGATTTATTTGAATTAAATTTTTTATTCAAATCTCCACCTGAAAGAAGCGGTATTTCACATTTTCATTAGATTCTAAATCCATTTTAAAATTATTATTTTTTTCTTTAAAATCTCCATCTGTTGTTTATAATTTAAATTTCGGCTATGTGTGGAAGTTTTGATACAGCAGTTTAGACCTATATTGCGATGGAATGTTGTCTGGCTTTGTCTCGTTTTAAAAAAAAATCCTATTCGTTTTGTTTTGTTTTTCTTCTGGCATCCATGCTCTGGGTGAAAACACAGGTTTAATGAAGGGGAAAATGTGAGGAGGGGGGGGGGGAATCAACAGTTGGCTTAGGTTTAACACTGCTTATTGGTAAGGTTACACACGTGTGAAGGTGAATATTGGGCGTTAAATGAGTTACGTGTGTTAGATTAGCGTCAGGGTTAAGACTGCTTTTAGCAGAGATGACTAAATCAAACGAGTTACACGTTTACACGCGTCCTATTACGGCATTTCTTCCTCATTTTCCGATTTCCATAATTTTGTTTGATTTCGTTTTATAAATAGATTTTTAATCCCCATGCTATATGATTAATTTCTGTTAGCTCAAATTTAAATTGCCCGCAGCTGTTTTTCAAAAAGTAATATTAATGGCGATCTTTTTATAGC